TTTGTTTTTCCTTATTAACAATAATTCCTTTGTAGTGGGAGTATCGGAATATTACACGTAGCTGCAATATACAAACGGAGGAAGAAAGCATCTCTGGTTTCATAGGGAGCAGATATGTTCCATCGCGTTCTAGTAGCAGCGCGTCTGATGACGATGAAAGATATGAAACTGCTGATAGTGGTTGGAGCTCTGATGGAGTGAGTGAACTTGAGAAGAAAATATTAGTGTAGCATTTGTATTTTTCGTCTGTTTGAGTTTTTTCGGAAAAGGAAATATGTTTAAAATATTGGTTATTACAGGAGGTGCCTACAGCTTCGAAAGCAGCAAATAAGCATTCCGAGCCTATAACTAACAATCGACTAACACATACTTCAGACCATTCCGTAAATCAGCAGGAGTCAGCAGTAACGGGTCCACGTAATAAATTTTGTTCTTTATATTGTAATAATTCCGGCATATGCAAAAACTTTGCTGTTGTATTGCATGCGTGGAAATAATGTGATTTGTCTTTGCAACATTGAATATCTTGAATTGGCAAACTTTTTTAATTGTCTTTACTTGCATAAGTCTTTATAGAAATTTATTTATCTTCCAGGAAGCAGACAATCTAAATCACCTATTTATTATCGAAGTTTGGTAACGGAAGTCTTTGATGGGCGTTTAAGTAGTGTTGTGAAATGTCTTACATGCCATCATCTTTCAGAAACTTGTGAAACATTCCAGGTTAACTTAATTTTTGCATGGTTTAGAATCAGGGATTTTTGTAAACTTAAATAGACCTTGGTTTTTAAAAAATTTCCTGATCACTTATATCATTATTCGCTACAAAACATTATTTCGCTACAATCGTTGAAGGATTTATCGTTGAGCATTCCAACAAGAGAACAGCTTGATCATATTGCGTCATATTCAATGAATCTAAACAGTGAGAACAGGAAAGCAGACAGGAATGAGCAAGTAAGTCTTCGTGGAAGTACATTATACTTTGCGAATATATCAGATTCAGTGCTATTCTACCTTTTTTTTTTCTGCTATACATAATTTACAGGAAGAAGTTGATAACAATGAGAACGTTTCTTGGCAGTGGCCATGGTGGCTTGGAGGAAGCTTGTTTCGTTCAATATATCATTATCTATTTGGGGATTTAGTTTCTCTAAATGATGCACTTGCAGCGTTCTTTTTGCCTGATGATCTTTGTGGAGAAAATATGTATTCTTGCGAGAAATGTTCCAAGTATAAATTTTTTGGCGAATTAATTTTGTGAAATATTATTTTAGCTTTGGTCATAGGACCTTTTTATTATGTTTATGCATGACCATATTCAGCAAATGGTTGGGTAATCAAGAGGATAGAAACTATATTTTATAATTAAACAGTAGCTTCAGGTGTTTGATAATGTTGAAGAGAGATTTCCGTAACTGAATTACTATCTCGTTTAAAGTTGTCCATTACGTTTTCAGATTGCGGAACGGTGTCAAAATTTGCAAAATCATCGATCCGCCAGAAATTTTATGCATACATTTAAAACGGTTTCGGCACGATCTATCGGATTCAGTTAAAGTTTGTTTTTTTGTTTTTTTTTTTTTTTTTTAAAAAATTTTTTAATTTACAGAAATTCTTTGTGACGTAATTTTTTAGGATTCAAAAAAGGGATTTTATAGGTACGAAGTAAGGTAACATTTCCAGTACATGATCTGGATTTAACACCATTTATTGCCAATTTCGAAAAAAGCAAAGAACCAGTGCTCTATGATTTAGTTGCATTCATCACACATTATGGTGCAAATGCCGAGAGTAAGTCATGGATGAAATAATTGCTTTAAGAAGTGTTCTTTTATTAATATTATTGATATAATCTGCCTTTTTCGTTGAGTTCACCCAATCTGATTGACATTTGTAGGAGCCGAACTCTTTCGATTGTGGAGTTTAATGAATAAAGTTTATTTTATTTAAAGGCGGGCATTATATTGCTTATTGCAAGAATGAAGTGGATGATAATTGGTACGAATTTGATGACAATGTGGTAACTCGATTGGAAATCGGTGATATCTTGAGTAAAGAAGCTTATGTACTATTTTATCAACGACAGTCATCTCAGAGTATGGACGACATTCGAATTCATGTGAGACAGATGCTTGAGGAAAATGATAAAATAAAGGTTGGTCTTCTACTATTTTATACACTAGATAATTGGTGGGCATGATTAAAGCTAATCGAACTTAAGATTATTACAAAAAATACATTAGATTAAATAGTGAAATTGTTTAATCAACTTTTAAATTAAACTTAAAAACAACCAAACACTACTTTTCATGTGAAGGTCTCATTACATCGCTACATTTCTCGAGAATGGTTGCATCGTTTCTCAACGTTTTCAAATCCTGGACCCATTACAAATTATGATTTCCTTTGTCAACACTCGCAAATCCTCCCACGTAGAGCAGCAAGTCTCACTGATTATTATGCAACCATAAGCAGTTCACTGTGGGATTTTCTTTATGAAAAGTAAGTTTAAAAGCACTGTGTAAAGTTCTATCAGTGATGTGAACTATTTAAATGAATTAAGTATTTAAGTAACATTTTGCTCTTTATTGTTAATATTTACAGCGCAAAACATATGGGAATCTGTGAGTCTGCGTCATAGTTTCATCTCTGATCAGAAAGTTTTGGTTGTACCATTTAGTCGCTGTTGATGCTAACTTGTGCATTATGGCATTTGAAATTCAGATTTGGTGGTGGACCTTCAAGTTCCGAGTTGCACTATTGTTTGACCTGCCAAAATGAATTTCAAGTAATGAAACGTAAACGGGAAATTGAGCTAAGGGCATTCTTAACATTGGAGGGACAGTTGAAGCGATTGAAAAATAATATACCAGCTCTTACTTATGGTTATTACATGCCACCGAATGTTATCGCGAAAGCTTGGATTGACAAATGGAAGGCATTTGTTGAAGAAAATGAATTTGGTAATTTTAAGTTTTCCAGCATTGCATTTCAAATTCCATCTCGAAACAAAGTTTTTACAAGTGTAAAAATAAATGAAAATAATCACATAATACTGGCACTGGCTGTACTTGCTTGCATCTGCTACAAGACTGATTGAAATCCATTTTGTGAATTGGTTTTGTACACTGAAATCTCTCTAAACCGTTTATTATATTTTTAGAAATGTAGTAGAATTGCTATCATTTTTGAATGCATTACTGTTATTTTTTGTTTCCAGTCAGAGTTTCTGTAGTTTCAGAAATGTTTTTCAGAGCCACCGGGATCCATTGATAATAATATCATACTGGTTCGTAGTAGTAATACGTGTGATGCAAAACTGCATTTACGGCCTTCACAGTATGTGGAGTTACCTCGTGAAGCTTGGTTATTTCTCCAATCAATATACGGCGGTGGACCTGAAGTAAACTTACTTTTCATTTTCCATTGATTGGAGTTTATTAGTGGAGTTATTTTTTTTTTAATGTTACCTTCCTCACTGAACGAACCTATTATGCTCCGTGTACGACACCACCACTGATCATATGAATCTTGTCGAACTTTAATTTCCAAATGTTATATATGAAATTAGTTAAAATTTACAAAGCTGTAAATGCTTGAGGCAGTTTGCGCTGTTTTATGTTTCATATTTAAGTTTTCCTTTGCGTTTTAGTTGCTATGCATTCCGGAGGATCATCCATCTTTGGAAAGTCTGCAAAAATTGATTGCAAAAGTAAACGAAAAGATTGTGGAAACTTTGGAAAGTTTGAAAAGAAGAAATGCAGATGGTATACCGTTGTCGTCACATTCATGACTTATTGAAATAACTGAAACGAGTAACATTAATCCTACATCACTTTGCGAATGGCATTATTTCTTTGGAAAAAAGACTAATTTTCTGAAAATGTTTGTAATTTGTGCATTTGTGCTTTCTTGAAATTCACTTCTAAAATATTCAATGTCATATTACAGTAGTGATTAGGCCTATTGAGATCATTGAGAATTTGTTTAAAAAAAATTTTCTGCTTTATGAAGAAGATACTAGTTCCTTCTCATCCCTTTTCCGTACTTCTTAAGTTGTCATATTTTTCTTCATCATAGTCGGTAAGGGTCAGTTTCTCTGTCTATTTATACGTTTTTTAATTTTATGTTTCATAAGGAAAAAAAACAAACTTTTTCAATAGTCAGATGTTTCCTAAGACATACCATACTGTAAGTCAAAAATGATTCTGAGATAATTGCTAACATTATAGTAACTTTCTGGATATAAATTAGTACAGATTTACCAAGTAATTTAATCTATTATGGTATTTTCAATTCCCGCCTTTTCGGGCAGAAAAAAGTGCGGCTTCTTGTTAGCAGTTCAGAAAGTTGACATTTTACTTATTAGCAAATACAAAGTGCAAGATTATGTGATAGCAATTATTTATGAATTTTCATTTCTCTACCTTATTTGTAATTTCATTTATTCATTCAAACGATAAAAGAATTGGCAGGCGTTTTCCTTACAAAATCAATGAAGTCATCCTTTTGTGTGGCAATAGAACAAATGAACAACTGAGTAGGCAACCTAGTGTTAAGGTTGAGTTCTGACCAGCTTCAGTTTATTCTTAAGTAATATGATTTAGTGATAAGTGATGGTAGCAGTGCGTGCACACTTATAGTGCTACTAGCTTAAATTCTTAAAAAGCTATTGAATATTGATGCAATTTACGTTTTTCAACTGCGATACGTTTCTTTATATTAAGTATGGTTAATATCTGCTGAAAAATTACGTTGGATGAAGAAATAGATGTCTGTTTGAAATTGCACTATGTTTTGAAGCTCATTATGTTGAAGCTCAAACTGCAAACTGGAATGGATGAAGGAGTATTATATGCAAATGAGAAAGTTTATTAGTTTATAAAAATTCATCAATCTTTAATGCTATAAATTTCCTGATATTCTTAATAAAAATTATTTTATATATTTGTAATTCTATGAAGTGACCAATCATTGGTACACTCTAGGAGTGCACAATGGTCGAGATTAATCCTAATCCAGAAGAAGGTATAACTAAATTCTCTCCTAATATCACATATTTCTATGACCGATTACCAAAATTGTTAATTAAATCGCTGAGAAGAAATACAATTTCAATATCTAATTAACTAAATTTAAAAGGCATTTAGATGCAATGAAAATAGTTTATTTACATCCCGGAGATGTACTTGGTGACTGGACTGTTTTGGACAAAATTGGCGAAGGTGGATTTGGAGCTGTTTACTTGGTAAATTATATTAATTGATATCATTGATAACAACTAACTCAGAAATCTTTAATCTATCTTAATTAGTAATATCACCTGTAAGTATCTGGACAGTAATTAATTAAAAAATTACAGGTAAAAGATAGTAAAGGAAACGAATGCGCCATGAAGACTGAAAGTGTCAAAGCGACTGCTAAAGTAAATGTGTATCGCGTCGAACAGTTTAAATTAATTTTTACTAAAACAATGATATTTTTCAAAGCAATTCGGTAACTAGCATTGTTGACAAAAAAGAAAAAAAAGTTAAATGTAAACAATAAATATAGCTATACATACAATTGCTAAATTCTCGACCACCATTCTTAATAGGAAATTATGAACCACATTGGTATACAGGTGCTGAAAGCAGAATACTATGTTTTGAAAGAATTAAAGAGAGCAAAAGCGACACATTTCTGTGACATTTTGGATAGCGGTTTAGTTGGCGAAAACAAATATTTGGTGATGACACTAGTTGGACTGTCTCTCACAGTAAATAAATTTTCATTTTTTAAAAAAAAAAGAAAAATTGGCTAAATATATAATAGTAAGAAGATTTTAACAAAAGTGAGAAGAAAAAAAAAAAAAAAAAAACAATAATATAAATTCGAGTTATTTTTAAAAATAAAATTATAGGATCTGAGAAAACATGATCCAACACAAAAAATACAAAAATTTTCTATGGGTTGCGCACTTTCTGTAGGTATGAAATGCTTGGAAGCAATTGAAGAACTTCACAACATTGGGTAAATTATTATTACTATCATAGAAAAAATGTCTAAATTTTAAAAATAAAATGATTAGTGCAAGATGCACTTAGATAAAGTTATTGTGCATTAAGATATTTGCACCGTGATATCAAACCAGCTAATTTTGCAATTGGTCGTAAAAATTTACGTAAAATTTATTTACTCGATTTTGGCATGTGTCGTAAATATCTTAACAGTCAATCATCCGTACGTAATCCACGAAGATCTGCTGGTTTCCGTGGTACTCTCAGGTACCATAATAAGATAATTCCCCAAATTTTATCAAGACGTTGATTTTAACTTTTGAAAATTGACAAAATTCGAATGATTATTTTTATGATTGATTTATTAAAAAATTTAGCATGTAGCTAAGTTAATCGCAATAACTGGCACTCTTTAAATTTATTCAAATAGTTGCAGTTAATTTGAGTTTACTTAAATTTAGATCCAATTAAATTTAGATTTTATTTTTTTACAGATATGCATCAATAAGCAGTCATATATCACGCGAGCAGTGTAGAAAAGATGATCTAGAAAGTTGGTTGTATCAGCAAGTTTGTAGTCTCTTTTTTTCTCTTTCCTAAAATAACAAAAATTTTAAATAATTTAAAATGATAATTAAAATCAAATATTTCGAAATCACACCTACAAAGCCAATATTCACGAATGAAAATGACACAGTTACCTACTGCTATGGATACTCTTTTCCTCATATGAAAACATTTTCAGTATTATCTTTACCAGAAAAAAAAAATCAAATAGTATAGTTCAATTCGTTCAAAAGCAATCACAAAATCGAATTCTTTTTTTTTTCCTAGTTAATCTAATAATTGATTATGATATTTATTATTTCAATTGCTGTACTTCGCACTAATATTATGATTAATTTTACGGTGGAAATAACAGTTGGTTATTTACCGTGGAAAAATATGCAAGACAAGGACGAAGTGGGCCGATGTAAACAACTCTGTCGTAAAGATGAATACATTAAAGAATTGTTTGGTGGTTGTCCAAGAGAATACATCACAATTATGCGACTTATCGATTCCACTAGGTTATATTTTATTTTTTCACAGAAAGATAATAAATCATATATATATATATTCTATGCAATAGTTATTATTTATTTTTAGATATTATTCAAAACCAGAATACAATAAAATAACAAACTTATTGCGTGACGCATTACGCAATAACGATATGTCAGAATATCCATATGATTGGGAGAAGTATCTCGAACCATCAAAAAACATCAAAGGAACAGGAATTACAACTTTATAAACATTTCACCTAACTCGTTTTAGACATTTGCAGTGGAAAATGTGAATAAAATTTATAATTAATCGTAGAATGTAAATACTGTAATAAGCGGTACAACATTAAAATTATGTTTGTTAGCTGGTAAAGAATGATGAAAGATTTAAAATTCCTCGTACTTATTTTTTTAATACTCCAATCAATCAAAAGTCATTTGAAATTAGCAGAAAAATTTGTATAAAATATCTCTTATTAATTTTTAAATGTTATTTAACATATGAAACTTATCATTTCTTGCTCAATTTTTTTTTTTTGTCCAAAAAAAAAAAAAAAAAGAACGAAATTTTTATTTCTTTTTTTTTTTTTCCTTAACAAATATAACAAACTATCGTTGTCATACAAAAACGATCTCTCAACTTTTCCATTCTATGAATACATTCAATAAAACATCGCTGTCTGTCTATTCATAACGCTCAAATTATAAACTAATTATTCAATTGCAATAAACACAAATGAACACACCGTTAAGTGCTAATCTTATAATACATAAATGGGAATGCACTAATGGTTTTTCTTTTTTTTTTTTTGGGCATTTCACTTCTATATATGATATATGGGCAGGCGAGCGGGCAGAGCAGTTGGGTAGGTAGGGTAGGCATTCATTTTCCTTTTCCTTCCATTCTTACTACCAAAAACTAATTCATTCTCGCACTCATCTATGACTAGCAATAGAAATGATAACAGAGAGCAATAAACACAGGAATAAGCTCGAATTTCAATTTTCTCTCCTTCTCACTGTAACCATTGATAGTAATGAATAAGTGATAGATGATAACTTATCACCTCCTAGAGATTAACAATTGAGCCAGAATGTCTTAAAGAGCCAAAGAATAGACCAGGCCATACCCACTGCTCTTCCTTTGGTTCACTCTATCACAACTAATTAGACTTAAATGACGTTTTGTCAATTTTACGGTTCGACCAGCTATGCTGTGAATGCTTTGTTTTATGTTTGATTTTTCACTAATTGGTGGTATTATCATTGATTATCACAATTTTACCCGATTAATAGGTAACGAATGAGTTACCATTAGTAGTGGGCAATTTGCCTTGTTTTCTAATTAATTGACTGATAGTTCTTGACAACTCATTCGCCACAACAGCTTTCATTGTTATGTTTTTTTTTTTTTCTTTTTTTTTTCTCGCATACATCAGTGCATCTAGTTTTCCACTTTCGGAAGTAATTTGTTGAATAGAACAAAAAAAGAAAAAAGAAAAAAAAAAACAGATGGATGACTCATCCAACAATAAATATTAAAAGAACGCGCCTCATTTCTTACTAACAAACTCTCAACCGTAAGCCAACAAAAGAATTATTATGCAAATTTTCTCTTTTCACGGCTGTTTATAATTTCCTGAAAATGTTCTATTCGATTTTACAAAACTTTATTTTTACATTCTATTTCGATCAGAAGATAGGAATACCCACCGAATTCGCTGTTTTTTTTCGCCAATTTATCGAATACGTCTATCAATATTCTATTAAGTATGTCTACGTCGAATTTAAGTGTGCTTTATGATTATTGATTTATAATTATAATCATACCATTTTTTTCAATCGATTGTTCATTTCCTTTCTCTTTGTTTTTCTATTCTTTTCATTGCCATTGATGGGTGAAAAGAGGATTAAAATGACCTTATTAATTATCTAATATTTTCTTTTTTTTAGTAGAGACTATCGAACACGGAGAGAAAACAGATGAACTCATGTAATTATATATTAGAAAGAGAGAAGTGACCGAAAGAACTCGCAACATAACTTATGCTATCAGTACCGATGAACGATGCGATAGGAAGGCGAACGATGAAGTGTGTGATTGTGGTCAAACTGAGCCGACTTATCAGTAAGATTTTTTCATTTAATCATATATGATTCAACTCTTGACAATATCATAACTATTTTGGATATTATAAATTTCTCTATAGAGATTCAACCTTTGACCTCTATTTTGGGATTCCATTTGAGCTCAAAGTTTAGATATTAATAACCAAACAATTTCTATGATGTTCGAGTAAGTCTATTTTACGGTAGTATTTAATGATTTATTGTAATGTTTGAGACAATAATTTATTTGAAGATAATATTTCAGTCACTAGTATGTCTCATGAAAGAAAAAGAGAGAAGGCACTTGAAGCGATCTACTTTTTCACCATTTTCTTTTTCTTTCTAGTAATATTTTTTTTTAAAAAAAAATTGATTCCCTTATTGCTTTCTATTTTGTTTGAGGCTTTTATATACGACGTCGATGTTTCATCGCGTTTTCTATTATATCAATTTTTCTTCTCATCCTGCAAGGCATACTATTCAGTTCTTCGGATAAACGGCCACAAGTTTGTATATTTATGGCTTTGATTTTTACCCAATTTTTTAGTGTGACTGTTTTGGTAAGTGCATTTTTTGTTATAATGTATTGGTCTAGTAAACTATTAAGCTATTATATTACGTATGTTTGAAATTTGCATCACTTCACTGAAGATAATCTGCAACTAACATTTTTTTAAAAGAAATATTTCTTTAAAAAATTTATATTCTTGTTGCCAAGTTTAATTAATACTCGAATTTTTTTTTTTTTTTTTCAAAGTTTAGGCTTTTAGGCAAATGATCGTAAGATTTTGGAGAGCAAAATAACTAATATTCTACACATTGGTTCACTTCCTGCTGCTGCAAACAGGGCAGTAAGAGTTGAAGTTAGACTTACATGTTTATTTTTACATTTTTTTAAGTTTAATCCTTTGATATAGGCCTATGTAAAGATAGTTATAAAATATTCCTAAGGCTTGAACGCTAATTTTTCTAATATACTGTATTGTAATTCCAATTAATTTGGGTAAAAGTCTCTTTTAATTTGAATTATTTAGAATTTGTTATTCGATAAAAACATAGCACAGTCAGTGACTGATAGCAATGAAAAATTTGTTGCTGTGGTTTTGGTTATGGCAGCGAAAAGGGAGCGTGCTATCAGAAATCATTTAGATCAATTGATAAAGTTCGTTTTTCTTCTTAAAATCTCGAAGTGCTGCACTATATTCTAAGTTTTAGTGCTCTTCATTTTCTTAAAACATTCTGTATTACTGCTATATTGTTAATTATTATTATTATTTTTTGATTTTGGTGCAATAATTTTGTCTTATCCAGCTACGATTGATTTCATAAATTCAGATCTGTGCAGTCTTTGTTTGTAAACTGGGAACACCAGCAGGTTTTGAAATCTACTTTATTTTTAAGTGAATCAAGGAAAGGAAATTTTTGGATGGAAAAAATTTTTAGCATTTATATACAAATAATATGAATCGTCCATTCATAACTGTTCTATGTTTGTCGAAAATATTTTTGTTAAAAGGAGAAAATGAAATGATTTTACTTCTTACAGACTACGACCTTCTGCCGTTCAGTTTCCTATTGTTATCAGTCAAGACGGAGATGATCAGGCGGTAATGGAAGCTATTTCATCTTTCACTAGTGAGGAAAAGAAAATTACATTTATTCATGTAAGTTCACTATTTGTAAACTGAACAAATCCAGCAGATTCTTGAAATCCATTTATGCTTGCCAAAATCTCTTCCATTCTTTGATATTATAATTTGAATTTAAACAAGTAAAAGTATATGAAGCAATTTCTTTCAGCACAAAGGACGAGCAGAACTTCCCAGTTATTTGGATTCTGGTTCCAAAAACTATTTTCGTATTGCACGTCATTACAAATGGGCTCTGGACGAAGTTTTTTTTAAAATGAAATATGAGATGGCGATCATCACTGAAGGTTAGTATGTTCAATGTTTGTGAATTATTTAATATTGTTGAAATTTTTTCATAGCCAACGGTGTAATGATACCTAAGGGATTGTGTTTGTCTATAATCGTTCCTCAGCAGCTTAAATTATCTTTGTAATGCTTAAATTTTCTCAATGATCATTAAACTCTGTCATCAAATTAATTGGGCATGCATTCTTGGATATCTATTTTATTCTAACATAAGCAATCCTTTCAGATGATCTTGACCTAGCGGATGATTTTTTTTCTTATTTTGCGGCCTTAAAGCCAATACTACTTGCTGATGAAACAATTTGGTGTATTAGTGCATGGAATGATAATGGAGGTGCTAATATCACTGATCGTAAGCACGGCGAGAAACTTTATAGAACAGATTTTTTCCCAGGATTAGGTATCTCTTATTAACTTCAATTTTTTAAATTTAAACTTTTTAATGCAGCATTTTAGACGTTATTAATTGCCAGTTGATGAAGATTAAAATGGTTTGGAATGTAAGACTTCATTTATCTCAATATTTCCTCTCATATGTTTCAAAACACCTGGGATAGTAGTTTTAGACATTAGCAACTAAGGCACTTAATAGGATGGTCACTATTAATTAATCGGAACTTCATTAGTCACATTTCGTGCATCCCAATTTACTTGCACCATAAATATGAATCTTCACATTTTTTTTTTCCAATGACTTTACCTAAATTTTTTTTTACTATTAACATTTTTGTTTGATCCTATCATATCTATTAATTTTCTTCATATAGGATGGATGCTTACGGCTCAGTTATGGAATGAGTTATCAGCAAATTGGCCTGAAATGTACTGGGATGATTGGATGAGACGTCAAGATGTACGCAAAGAAAGAGTTTGCATTCGACCAGAAGTTTCAAGAACTTCTCATAATAATGACTTAGCAGGGAAAGGTTCAAGCGGGTAAGTAGCGATGTTGGAATCTTTTTTATCTTCCTTTTTTTTTTTCTTCGCTGTTTATATATTTTTTTTTTCACAGTTTCTTCCTAGTTTGTATCTAAGAAAGAACTCTGTTTACAGTGGATTGTATAAGAAATATCTGGCCTCTATTCGTTTACCTGAAATAGCAATTGATTTTTCGAAACTGGATTTAAGCTATTTAATCAAAAGTAACTACGACAGGTTTATTATTATTATTATTATTTCTCACTTTTTGAAGTAAATATTCCCTGCAACTTGAGGTTACTTTTAAAATATCTCTAACGACAAATTCGAATTATATGATATCTTTTTCAGTTTTTTAAATCAAGAAATCTCAGGTGCTGTTGTATTATCAACAGATAGTTTTTTGAATAAGACTTTTTCTGGATCCGGGCCTTTCTTTGTTACATATAAAACGCCTAGGGAATACCGACGCTTGGGAAAATCTGTTGGATTGATGCTTGATATCAGAGTAAGTTGTTATTTTCGTGGCTTAAAAACAAATTAAAACGAATCAAATGTTTAATTTGTTCTCCGCAACTACGTTTTGAAATCCGTTAGGATTTGTTCTAAGTTCTACTAATTTTATTACAAAATATATTTACAAAAATAGTTTTTGTTATATTTTCCTTATAAATGTAAGAAAATTTGCAGTCTGGTATGCCACGAACAGCTTATTACGGCATTGTAACTTTCATGTACTGTTCAGAACGTTTTTACGCAGTTCCAGAAAAGTTAAATCTTTCGGCACCTAATTTTGGTCTAAAACCTTCGTCTGACTACTATAACGAAAAATGGGACAAAATGACTCGCTACCTCGAATTTCAGGAAACGTATTGCACGCCTACGAAGTAAGACCTTCGTACTTTGTTTTTTATCATCATCATTAACAGCAGTCCGTATGAATGTTACCTGAATTTTTTTTTTCGTAATTAATTATGGCAGTCGTTACTCTCTTAAAACAGATACAAGTTTTTTTTTTTCTTTTTTTTTGTTTTGCTATACCTGAGTACCTAACATAAGCATAAAAGACCTATTGAAAAACCAAAACTATAACAACTAATAAATGATTAATCATTCCTCACTTTAATTTTTTTTTTTCGTTTTCTTCCTTCAGATCAGTGACATTTAGGTATAACGGAAAATGCGATCCGAAGGATCCAGATCTTATTGCATGGTTCGCGAAAAAAAGATTATCAAAGAGACTGAAGCACTGGGGTGAAATGATCATCAATTAAATGAATACGGATACGTGGTATTGGTATGGGTTATCGACAAAATTTTAACTATTAAATCTGGGATTATTTTTCGAAACTAATTACACTTATGTATTCGACTTTAATTATTATTTATTTATTTTTAATTGTTATTTATTTATTTTTTGTGTACATGATTTCTGTGCATATACTGCGTAATTGAGAATGGACAGTATAGAAGAAATATTTTTTCGATTGTAAATTTTTTATTATACTTTCAGTTTTGATTCCTCTTCTATCCTTTTGTGAGGTTGTTGTGTCATCATTTAGAGTCTTTTTTAAAATAATTTAGCATAGGACGTTGTGTCATGTTTAAATGCAATATTGTGTTTGAGCAAGGTTTACAAAATCTGGAGACACTCATTTGACAGAAATTTAACTTAACTAAGTGCTTCTGGTCGAATTAGGTATTATTGTTTATGTTTATAGCATTAGGTGAACAGATGTGTTTTATACTTTTGAATATCTATTAACACTGAAAATAATAGTTTAAAAAGAAATTGATGATATCAGATTAGGAACTTCCGTGACATCAGTTGCACTTTATAACTACTTTCACCTAAAGCTGTACTAGACACGACCTCAATAGCTCAATATTACATTCCCATCTATTAAATTCTGGATAAAATAACACTTCTAAATTTTTTCTTTTTTTTTCCCTCAAATATGATTTCTTTACTTTATCTCTTGTTAAGCCATTTGCCCATTGCTTTTTTCTTTTCCTTTTTTTTTTTTCTTTTGCAAAGCCATATTTCACTCATAATACGCCGTAATATCTGTACATTGCATAATATTTGTACATTGCACTTCTTTATTTGTTATTTGTTGGAATCTATATTTTTCGCAAATTTATTATTCGTTCTTTCATTCTTTCATCATTACGGTTTAGTTCACATAACTGTTAATTTGTTTTTGTTTAAGTTCAAGAATTCAATGTTTGTTTTTTAATGACTAATACTGAAATTAATTTTATTTCAGGTTTTTCTATTAATTCTGTGATATATTTGCATTTTTCCCTTTTTTTTTTTGTATTCATTACAATTATACGGCTAATGATTCCAGAATTTAAGAATTGTGGGGAGAGAAAGAGAAAGTTAGAGGTTACCTTTATGCCCTAAAAAATTTGCTTATCTATTCGCCATTGTTAAATGCTTTATTATATATTTGATGAAGAAATGAAGAGTTGAAAATTATAATTTTATCAGCTTCTCCTAGATAGCATAGTTCTCATTCTCATTTGCTTCATGTTAACCTTTATCTAGCTAAATTATTATATAAATGTCATCTTATAGCATATTTATTGACCAGAGATATATCCTGCAAAATTTTCATTAAAAATTAGAAAGAATATCACTTATGCACCATTGTTGTTGTCTTTTGTAGTTTACAGTCAAGATAGTTACATTAAATATATATTAGCTTTAGTTGCTTTTTAATGAAATGATTCGAAATAATTGTTAGTCATTCATTGTTAGAGAAATTAAATTTTTGTTTGAAAGGAAAGCAAAATGCAAACGAAAGTAACTGGCTTTTTGCTGAAATATTAAACTTTTTCTTAACTGCAAAATTTTTACTACTTTCTGGGGCCGTATATTTTGTTTAATGTGAAACTTCGTCTAAAAAATTTTTATCTATTTTTTTTTACCCCATGTATTTGCTCCCCATTGTATAATTTAAAAACACACTTTACAATCGTATTCAGTTGTGAACTTGAAATGTTGAAAGGCCATAAATGATCCCAGATGTTCCTGATATTTTCTAGTAATCTTCATAATTCCAGAAACCACAAAAATGATGATATAATTGGTATTAAATTTTGTACTCTGATCAATAACATAACTAAAGATCATTCAAGAGTTTCATACTATCATAGCGGGCAAATTCGCACTCTCTCTGACGTACGCCAAAAAACAGAGGACTTCGAGAGTAAGCGTAAAATTCCACAAATTGCTATTTCTATCCAAGGTATTAACATGGTCAAATAATCTAAACCTAAGTTAGCACTATTTACTTTTGCAGTATTCCTTGAACAAAAAAGTAAAACTGAAAATTTCATCTTTAATGACATAAGATTGAGTCTTGAAAGTTCTAATTAGTTTCATTTACTGGTTATCACTTCAATTAATTTGAATTTTTTAAAAATTAAAGTCTTCAATGCTCTCTAATAAAAACAAAATGGATGACAGTATAAATTCTTCCAAATTGATAATGCTTAATGTAATATTAATGTAATAATATAGTTTCAGGATTTTTTCATTAAATTTTTCACTAATGTCCATTAAATGTCCAAATGCATTTACTTAACTTTTATTTCATTCCATACAATTTCATCTTTAGTGAAATTTCAGGTCAATATTTTAGATTTTTAATGAAATTTCTAACTTCAGATTCAAATACAATCAATTGTAGTGTTATAATTATTCCATCCGAAATACCGCAAAAAAAAAAAAAAAAAAAAAAAAAATATTATAAATGAACAAAAAATATTAACAAATGAATAATTTTCGCTTTCAATAACTCTATCATTACTGCTAGATATTAATTTTTTCATTAATTTCATTAAACTTTACTTTTTTGCAGAGCTAAATTTTGTTTTTGTAAAGAATGAAATTTCGATGATTTAGTCCGTGGAGAGGAATGATCTGTGATAGTTTGAGTATCTGAAATAGTTAGAGAATCTTTCAATTGAACAGGTAAACTAGAAATGGTACTTATTGTTCGAGTATTTTTATTGGTATGATTTGATTTGATTTGCTTTTCTTGCCATATTCGTTTTTGTTTATCTCGTAATTTTTGTTGATGTAATATTTCCATTTCTCTCTGTAAACATTAACATTTGCATAAATATATGAACTATTAGCTATGATTGGATTAAAAATTTTTAGCTTAAAATTTAACGATGTAAATTTTATGATGCTTAAATGATGAATGAATGTTAGCATCAAATCATTAAGTGTGATGTGCTTAAATGCTAATATGATAATAAAGTGATATGATAAGAGAGAAATGATTATAATACACGTTTCTTTTGCAAAATTTTCTGATGTCAGTTGTGCATTTCAATTCTATTTTAACTAAACATTTTTGATTAATTAATTAACTAACTGACTAACTAGCTAGCTAACCCTAATTAAATTTAACAATAATTTTATCATTTAAATAAATTATCATATATGCTAGCAATAACAAACAGTGATATTGCTGCTTTTCCGGCTATTTTCATCATCCTTATTCCTCCGTTCAAATTCCATTTCTATTGTATTATGACCACTGCATGGACAACCAAAGAACCAGCAATAAATAAGTGGAAATAGTATAACATATATCTAAATTTAATTAATTTAATTTGAAAAAAAAATTTAAGTAATTATTTTTTATTTGCAAATATACAATGATTGCTGATAAAAGAATGAAGAAAAGCTTTTATCAAGCTTATTCAATGATAAGAAAACAAACTTTCCTAATCATTTAGTGTTCATTGTGTAAGAAATATAATTTCATACTTGCATGCATATTAATACTCGTATTATCTTATCATCCAGATCATCCAAATGAATTGGTTCTTGTGATAACAAAATAGCATTGCTAAAATGTTGTAGGAAAATATGTTTGAAAAAATAAAATTGCATGCAAAAATTATTTAATAAAAAAAATTTGCAAATTTTGTTAATCAATTAATTTTGCGAATGTTAATTAATTATGGATAACTTTAATTAATACTAAAGCTTACATTTGCAAATCATTGCAAATGTAAAAATTAGTGATAATTGAAATTATTTTTGGAACAAAAAATTTATTACTTTTTTTCAATTCTCGTATAACTTTCTTAACAATTATTTTATGCATATTAAACAAAATCATTGATTTATTCAATTATATCAACTTAATAATTAATTTAATTTAATTATGAATCAAATGTTTTTGATAAGTTAATTACAAGGATTATTACCTCATAGTTGCTAATCTAAAATTATTTCACAACGAATTTCACACAAATAAACAGTTTCTTTCTTGTTGCTTTTTCTAACAATAAAAATTTTTTTTTTGTTATATGCAAATTTTGGCATTGAAAATTGCTACCTGTCACTCGGATATCATTTATTATCAGAATACTCTCGATGCAATAGCACTTTTTAAAAAAGAAAAATTTATGTTTTCTTTCAAACATAACAATTATGAAATTTTATTTAATTCATCTTTCCATTCTACTTTTGACCTACCCGATTATCTACCTTAAATTATATACCTTAAAGAGTATTGTGACAGGTAATTATGTAAGAAATTGACAAATGACCTTACATTACCTTTATATTCCTCGTATTATTTCTACATATTGCTCTTGAGAAAGATTTTATTTTTAAATGAAATATACAATTTTAATGAAACGATCGACCAAACTTGAAATGCAATTAATTAAAAAAAGTTAATTAAACTTAAATCGATTAAGAAACAACAACTTACTGCTATGATTCTCGTCTTATACACATAAATTTTGCAATTATTCGAATGATTTCTTCAAACATTAGAACACACCTATACATACACACACACACACACACACACACACACCACAGACATACTCACACAGACACAGACATACTTTCTGTTAATGTAGTAATGTGTGATAATAGGTTGATATAGAAAGGACCAATGATTTTCAAAAGCTTAAGATGTGCCATATTGCTAATCTTTAATTACTAAGTTTTTTTTGTTTAACTCAAATTTATTTAAAAAAGAAAAAAAAAAAAAAAGAAAGAAAGATAAAAGTAAAAAGCATTTGTAACGGATGTTATTACTGCGACAACTTTTGCTGCTATCAACACTTTAACATTCATTGATCATTGATAATTCTCTAATCACTTCCCTCTGCATTACTACTTTTCAATATCACTAATTGATTATCATTATCTAGGCTTATCTCTTCTACATTCAATCTCTTCATCATTTTCTTTTCTTTCTCTTATCATTATTTCTGGTTTTATCTCTTCTACATCCAATGTTTATCATTTTCTTCCCTTTCGCTTATCATTATTTCTAGACTTATCTCTGCTGCATTTAATGATTATCAACTTCTTCTCTTTCGCTTATCATTATATCTATAAATTTATCTTTTCTGCCTTTCTTTCCCTCAAATTCTAACAATCCGAAAAGCACTAAAATGAATGTTTGACGTGAAGCAACTGTTGAAATAGGATGAAATGGTCAGAATTCTATTCTTTTCCTCTCACAATTCTACAATCTTTCGATTATTTACAAAGCTATGCCATTTGTTGAGAAGTTAGTTAGTCAGTCGTCCAAATGTGGTGGAATATTTCAACAACAATACAAATTGAAATTTAAACCAGTAGCGCAATTTTCCATTTTACCGCATCGCATTTTCTTCTTTTTCACTCCTTTTTTTCTCTTTTTTTCTGCAAAATAATTTATTTTTGATTTACTTTTAATGTAAACTATTTCATATGTTGTGGAATATTTCATTATTTACATTATTTTATATTGTTTAATACTTAAATTATAAAAAAAATTATTAGTTTAATAATTGTATAAATGATTATAATTAGATAAATAGTTCTTATGTTTTTCATATTTGCTTGCTGTTATTTTAATTTTATTCAGTTTATTTTTCATCAAATCATTATATTTACTTTCAAAGTTTTTGAATAAATTAAAATTTGCGTATTCATGATTTATTAATTAAAACAATGAAAGATTATTTACTAACATTATTAATTAATTAACTAACTAATTAACAGTTATCATTTAATTAATTATGCTTCTATTACAAAAAAAAAAAAAAAAAAATTTCTACCAGATGGCATATTTGCTATTTTATAATTGGCCAGAAAAATTTTTCTTCCATTATTATTTTTATTTCTAAAATTATATTTAAAAATTTTTTCATGAAAATTTTTATCATAAATTTTACAATGATATCTCTTTCCCATTATTTGACTACAATTGAAGAAGTGATAATATAAAAGATATTGATTGCACGGTTAAATAAAGAATATAAAATCAACATTTTTCGTAAAATTTTCATCAAAAACTTTTTAAACGTAATTTAAAAAAAAAGTTTAGTGAAAAAAAAAAAGGAAAAATTTTCTGCCAGATGGCATATTGCTAGCAATCTCGAGATACGGAAAGATATATACAAAGGAAAGCTTTTAAAAGGAAGAGAAAATGAACTAAAATCGAAAAATTCATATTAACATAAATACAAATATCATTTCTGATTAAATTATGATATGTTATCATCAGAATATAGCAAATGTCTTTCCAATAAGTAATTATAAAATTAATCAAATTATCTTTTTTTTTTTTTTCAATTCTCAGAAGATTAATATTTAGATGTAGTAGAAATTGTCATCTCTTTTATCAGCATTATCATAATGATAATAATGGTTGAAGTGATAATAATCTTATCGATGATTAAAGTGATAACAGTCTTATCAGCAATTATCTAGCTGAACAATATATGAATTTTTATCAATAAGCAAATCGAACAAGCATAGCAATTTGATTGAGATATTAATTAATTTTGCATATAAAATGAACAATGTTAGAGTGACAGAAGAGAGAAAGTACATTGTAATGACATATTACAGGTAAGTTTCCAGGTAAGTATGTCACAATTTGTACTGTGTTTGCATTTGTAAATATCTTTTCACATTGAAGAAGCCAACAGCATCCATTAATACTATTTCATTTGCTAACACCTCAATGCTATATTATTTATCGTTTTTAGCATTTACTTTTTTTTTTTTTAATTTGAGAATTGAAATAATAGCTTAGTTTCTTTTATTATTCGCTTTTTTCTTTTGATTGTTTTGTTTAAAAAATTTCTTTAAAACATTTATCAATAATATATATATATATATTCATCAATGTTTAGCTAAATTCAATAAAAAACTAAAACTAAAAAAAATTATTTACCATTGAAAGTTTTTGTTGTAAATAACAAAACATCTAATATGCAATTTATAAAAAAAATTTGTAAATCTTTTTAACAAACCTAATCCAATTTTCTTTTTTCTTTATTAACTATTTCATAGGATTACAAAATTAATTTATTAATTAATCGTATTTTTTTTTTTTTTTTGTATTTTTTTTTACCTCAATGTTTTAATATAGGCGAGAATAAATATATATCGATGGATGAATGAGTGTGCTTTTTTTTTTTAAAGAATAAATAATTTTGTAAACATTTCAGCACTGTGAAAAATCAATTCAAGCAAATGTAAACTTATCTACAATTTACTTTAGATAAAATATTTAACAGTTCTTTTAATTTTTTTCTTAAATTCTCAAATAATTTTTGAAATTTCTTAAATATTTCTCTGCATTTATCGAAATTCAAAATTTTCATAATTTCTTGAAAGAAAGAAAAAACGATATGTTTTAAGAGAGAGAGAGAGAAAGAGAGAGAGATGTAAAAAAATTGCAGAAATTTTTCATTACTTCTCAGATTCTTTCTTTTTTCCTTTCTTTTTTTTCTCAAAATATAAGATGAAATGATTCAGAAAGATTAACAATTGTTTGAAAGAAATTTAAGAGAGAACCATCATATATATATATATTTCATAGACATAAATAAGCATAGCCATTATCAAAAAAAATATCCAACAATAAATCTATCTTATCCATTATCACCAAGGTGATAAGCTATAAGTAATTCACATTAAGCTAACATCTCTATTCATAATTATAGTGTATTCATGGATTACTAACAGCGTTCGATCATTTATTTAAGCACTGAAATTTTACAAATTATTTTTCTTTTTACTTTGCTCTTTGAAATTTTTCCTTTAAATTTCATTTCCTTCTAATATTTTTTCGTCTTTTAACTTTTTTAACTTAATATTGATTCAATTTACATCTTAAAAAAAAAAAAGAACGAAAAAAAAAAAGGAAAGGAAAAATATAAAAGTAAATAAAGCAAAGGAAAAAAAAAGTATAACAAAATACTAATTGAAAGATAAATCAATCAAAATCTAAGATTGAATAACTGATATCATTGAAATGTTTTAAAATAATCAATAAATAATCATTGAATGATCACAGATAATCTTAGCAAATACTTTTTTTTTTCTCTCTTATTTTATTACTTTCAAATTAATAAAATTATTTAAAAATATTATATTTAAGAAAAAATTTTACATAGCTTCATTAGAGTTAAATTAATTACATTGTTGACATTCTTACATATATCTATGCTAGATAGATAAGTGAGAAATAAATATATTTTATCACGATAACATTTGCAAGACTTGTATCACATACTTTTATCAATTATGATCTTATCATAATTGATATTATTTAAATATCATCTACCCATATCGTAAAAAAAAAAATAAACATTCCTAAAAAATATCCTACTTCTTTGTTTTATATCTTTACATTATTACAATTTTTTTTTTTATTGTTTTTTCGTTTTGTTTTTTCTCTAAATTTTATACGCTCATTTTAATTTATTAGATATTTTTTAAAATTTAGCTTATCATTTTGTTTAATTTTAATTTTAATCTATTTCAGATCGTCGTTGTATGCATATGGAGTAGTAAAGTGATTTTGCATACTTTAGCAGAAATATTTACAGCTGAATTTAATTATGCTTAAATTACAATTCTTCTATTTGTCAGTCTTCAATTATTCTATTTGAAAATTAAATTTTTATAAAACAAAAACGGTAATTTTTTTTTTTTTGCAGAAAAAAATTAGCTATTTGAATAAAAATAAATTGAATAATACAATTTATGAAAGAAACATTTATTTAATACTTTTTTTTAAAAATAATATTTAAAGCTAATATCATTATCATTAAATATGTATGAAATATTTTATAAAATTTTAGGAGCTTTTATCTCTCCTAAATTACAATTCTATCTTTGGTTGCATAATTTGATGAATCAAAAGCGATTCGCAATTACAACAAACGACGATTCTGACGTTGATGATCGACAAAGAAATACGTTATATAATCGTTATTCAACACGTCAACAAACGCTTACACCTGTATCCAGAATTAATTCTTCAGGTTTATTTATAAATATATATCAGGAAAATTAGTAAAAATTAATTAAAAAGGAATTAATAAAATTTAAATGCTATTTTTGTTTTTTTTCCTTTTCTATGCATAGAATTAATATTTTTAGAGAAATTTCGATTAAATTTACACGATAATCCTTCAATAAGTAGTTCACAAGGAGTATCTACGTGTAACAATATTTCACGTTCTATACCCGCTGAACGACCACGTGTTGAAACTGCACATCCATATCACGTCACTGAATTTTCTCATTTCCAGGAAAACGATTTACTTGATTATCAAGCAGGTGGGTAAACATACTTTGTTATATTTACAAGCGCTTTATTTATAAGCGTAGTAGATTGATATTATTTAATTTTTAATTAATTATGAAAGTTTATTTTAATTTCTATTTTTATTCTCCTAAAATTGAAATGAGCTTTTTGCATTTCATAAAAAAAAAAAAAAAAAAAACAAACAGACGTACGCATTATCATTATCAAATGAAACTATGAAAACAGATTTATTCGCTTTATTAAAATTCCAAATTCTATAAAAAAATTTGTACAATTTTATTCAAACTGACAATATTTAATTTTTTTTTTCTTTTTTGTTTTGTATAAAATTTTAATTTATTATCGTTTAATGGAAATCAAATAATTATGTTTTTGTTTAGTGCTTTTCAGGAAAACCGTTAAATCATAAACAACAATTTTATTCAGTGGAAGAGCATCACGACGATTTCAGTTTCCGTGAAGCCAGCAACACAACAGATCACCGTCATTTGAACATTTCAATTCCTGAAAATAATTTTAACGAGCAAATCAAAAATTCAAAACTTACCGAAGAAGTTAATTTATTAATTGCTTCCCATTCAAATCCATCTGTCAATTTACATTCACAAAATATTGGTACGTTCTAATTTGTTTTTTTCCCATAAAAGAAATAATCAATCGATGATACTTTGTAAACATTTTGAAAATTTGAAAAAATATAATTATAAAAAAATTACAGTAATTTTTCAAATTTTATTAAATTTTATTAAGAATTTCTCATCATTTTCGGGCAGCTTAATTATTTAAATTTATTAATTATAATTTGACAAAATAATGCTTTAAATTAATTACATTTATATTAGCAATTCGATTTTTTAAATTCAATCTATCTATCAAAACTTTTTTTTTTTTTTTTCATCAAACAAACAGTGTAATAGAAATTTTGCGTCCTCTTTCTTTATTTACTTACATCCGACAAGTCTACGATCAAAAAAGTACTAATAGCAAGTCAGTAAAATTTAAAATTCTAAATTTATTTAAGGTTAAAAATTAAAATGATTAAAAGATGGTTGAAGCCTTGACCTAAAAAAAAGCGACAATATGTGTCGATAGGCCTATTCTAAATGATTATTTTTTAAATGAGAAATAAACTCATCGATAATGACCTCTATTACTGATCATTTTGCTACACTGGTTGAGTTCAAATTTTCTTGTTATCATTTTGTTTTTTGTTTTTTTTTCTTTCTTCACCTTTTTTTTTTTTTTTTTCTTCAAGTTGAAAATTTATCAACTTATCATTTTTTTTTTTTTTTTCAAGATTTCATCACTGTGATGTCAATCAAATATTACAATCAAATTGAAAATCTTAAAAGCATTACAAAAAAAAAAAAGAAAAAAAAAAAACGAGAACGAACTTTTTTTTTTTCTTAAAAACAGATCGAGCAAGAAATCATTCAACACAAAAAGCCCCGAGATTTCCCAATCGAACAGAATCAATCGATCAATTTTCTACTGATATCCAAAGAACAAATCGTCATACATATAAAAAACCTGAAGTTTGTACCTTTTTTTTTTTTTTTTTTTTTTTTTCACTTTTAAATACACTAACGATTAAATATAACAAATTTGACTATACTAAATTCATATTTCAAATTTCACTATTTCAATACATCGGCAACAAAATTCAAATCACAAGAATTCAAAATGGTCAGAAGTTTGACATTGTTAAGAATGTGATATGATCCATAAAAAAGAAAGTAAATTCATTTAAAAAACATAAAATTAACTTTTTTGCGCGATTTAATAATTTAGCTCTGATAAAATCTAACCATTAATTGTTATCACTGATAAATTTAATGCATAAGCTAAAATGTTTTCAACTAATATTTAATTAATGCAATAATAACTAATTTAAAATTTATTCATTTTTTTCCATTTAATATCTACCAACAATAAGTTATTTTTATTAATTTGAATAATATATCATACAACTTTCTCAATTCTTTTTGATTATTTTCTGCTAATAATTCAAATTTCTCAATATTAATAGCAAAATATTAAATAAAACAATAAAATAAAGAAAACTGTTAGATATAATTTTTACTTTTAAAATTAAATTTGATGTTTTTCTAAGAGTTAACTTTTACCTTAACTATTATATCACATATCTTTTTTTTTTTTTTAAAGATATATTACGCTGATAATAGACGTGTTGAACGTTTAACTTATCGTCCAACTGGAAATCAGCACACGTACGTGACACATCCAATTGTTGAATTATCGATACCAAAAGACGCATCGAATGAAGATGCATTAATTGATATTCCATATATTGATCAAAATATTAATTGGAATTATTTATCGAGAAAGAACACAGAATTGAATAATTATCCAATCAAACATCAAACAAATATTTCTTCATCGAATGGTTCAAATTCATTGATTGCTTCTGAATACGATCGTTCGTATAGCACTGGTAAGCTATCCTTTTAAATCGAGAAAATTCTTAAGAGAATATAATTAATGTCACTTCTTACCTGTATCACATCCATCTCAATATGAATTCAGTATAATTATTACATACGACAGAATGTTTTAATGATAGAATGTCACATGTCACCAAGTTCTGATAAATTTTCTCATAATCGATTACTGCAAGACATAAAACAAAAATATAAATCGATTGGTATCAAATTTAAAATTTATTTGTCACCTTTCACTCATCTTTGACTAAAATAATGATAATAATAATGATAATAATAATAATAAAATAATAACAATAATGGATTATTAAATTGAAATAAAAATGCTTGTAGGCAAGAAGACAGCAAGTGGTAATATCCAAAGTACGTCAAAATCTACTTCAGTACCAATCGTTGATTATTCCAGTTTAGACGCATTTCTGGACGAGTCATTATTACAAGAAAAAGGGAACATGTCAAAATCAACAAAAGAATGGCGGTCTGTATTCAATGATAGTTTCATTTCAAAATAATATGAGAAAAAAGATTGCAAAAATGGAGATTTATGATCTAGTGCAAATTTAAATTTAATTTGAAATTTTAGAAGTAAAGCTATACGATTTAAACTTTTTGGGATATTAAATAGTCAGATATTGAGGATTTTAATTTTCTTAAATTTTAGTAAATTGTTAAATTTTAGATCATCATTTTCAACAATGCGTAATCGTTTTGGTAATATTGGATTATCATCGGATGAAGCAGTATCAAATAATCATAATTTTACAACAAATGGCTCAATGACATTACCGAAAAGAGCGCTTACAAAATCAGCAAGTCAAGGAAATCTCATAGCTAATGAACATTTCGATTCCAATGAAAGGTTAATTTTGGAATTAATTAGCAATTATTTTTGTTAATATCATTTATTTCTGGTTTTATGTTTCATTTAGACGACGATCACTTCTTGCTAATGCGGTTGAACGTCGTCGTGCTGCTGAAGCACCTGAGCTACAACGTCCGTCATCACGTCGAGAATTGGGCGATTTTTGGGAAACAACTATCAAAAATCGTTCAGGTATTATTTATTAGCAATCATTTTGCACTTTTTCTTTTCTTTTTTTACTATGATTAAGTATAATTGATTTGGTTAATCTTTTAAAATGCAAACAATTTTTGACAAATTTTAGTAGCACCACGTACTCCGTCACCGTTAACAGCTGCTCAACGTATGGAATTACTAAATGAATCGATCAGTGAAAATGGCACAAATCGATCAGGTCGACGATTTTCCGGTGATAATTTAGCAAGACGTAAGGCAAATTTTTTAGAAGCCGTCAAAAGTTCATCATCACAAACAATAACAGATCGTTTTACTAACAGAAGGTCAACTGTCATCCCTTCAATCAATGTAAGTGTCATTTGGAACGGTGTTGCATTTCTGACAGCAATAATAGTTTAATAGTAGCTAAAAGTTATTTTTTTTTTTTAAAAAAAAAGGAAAAGAAAAAGCTATTTTCAAAAGCAATTGACCTTTTTCATTTTACACTAGAAAAGTTCATCGATTTTTTCAAAAAAAAAAAATTATAATTTACAGGTGGAAATTAAAGAAAATAGCAATAATGAGCCAAATTTTGCATCATTGGATAGTGCAGTAGCGGAACTTAATAATACTAATTATGTGCTTAATAGTAGTGGCGGTTGTGCTAAATTTCCGCTTGATGATCTATGCTCATCTAGTCCAGTTAACAAAAGAGAAGGTATAATATTGAAATTTTATATTTCACATTGAGATAATTTTCATAATTACTTTTACTTCTATCAACTGAGCGCAGGTATGCAAAAACTCTTCTAAAATTGTTATATTAGCTATCAACAAATCATATTTTTACATTTTTTTATCTAATCTAATGATTAAATAATTATTGATTAAATGAGGACATTATGATGATAGTAAAACTGTATACGAACTTTTTTTTGCCTAATTTGAAATATTTAAGAAAACAATTTGCGCTCTTTTATAATTATTGTCACTATTTTATATTAAAAACAAAAATTTAGGTTCATTTTCTAACAAGAAATTTCAATATTTCTCATCAAATTAAAGATATTTCATTCTAATAATTTAAAAATTTTCTCTTACTAATATTTTAAAAATTATTCTATTAATTTTGTGATAAAAAAAAAAAAAAAAAAAAAAGATGAATGGAATAAAATTTTTGTTTCTTTTACAGGCTTAACATCATTAATGAATGGTGCGCTATTGACGCATAGTCCAAGTCCTGAGGCTACAAGTGATACAAGCTCAAACTATAATGCTCCAACTGGATTACCACATCCAAAACCAAAGCATAACATACGTGAACAGCTAATACAAGCTGGTTTTGAACCACGTGGAAGTAATTTTTATTTACACGTCATTACATTTTGCAAATGATTTATTAAAAAAAAATATATTATATATTCAAATATAATTGTAATTTTGTAATAAAAACATAGAAAAAGTTACATAAACTTTTATTCTTTAATCGTTTTTTTTTTTTTTTTTTTCTTTTTTTATGTGCTCAAAATATTACTATTATAAATATAAGTAATTTAAATCTATTTAAAATTTATCAATTTTATTTAAAAAAAAAATTTCATCAACATTTGAATAATGTAGCAGCAATGTATGTGAATCGTAGTGGCGTACGTTTTGGAAGTGCACCAAATTTCCCGATACCTTCCAATGGTAGCGTTGCATCACGCATTTCTGAATTTGAGAAAAAACCAGGTGCACCAAATTTACTACGAATTGCTTGTGCGGAACGACAAAGAAATGAGGTTTTGTTTAATTTTATTCCATGAAAATGTTCTTATAATATTTCTATCATTGTTATCAGTTCTCGAGAGTTAATACAATCTTTATATCATAATGATAAAACAGTTTAAAATTAACAGTTTCAATTTTTTTTTGAAGCAAAACTCGAAGTGCAATATTGTAAAATTTAAAATTTAAACTTAATTAGTAATATAAAATTGATAAAATTTTTTTAGCAAACTTTTGGTATAAACTTTAATAAGTTATCATTGTTTATGATAAAAAAGACTTTTTTTTTTTCTCCTTCTTCTTCAATTATGCAAAATTTATATGATAAACTTATTTGTGAAATTGAAATTAAATATGAAAGGCAAATTTTAGTTTTTAACATATTTTGAAATCAAAAAAAAAAAAAAATATATGACATAAAAAGGTAGTATATTAATTATAATTATAAAATAATCAGCTGATGGTTATTTTCCAGCCATCTCCGATCAGATCACCGCTAGGACCTATGTCACCACGGTCATCGGTGTACCGTACCAAGCCAGTAATCCATGCTGATATAAATGGTCCATCGTTGCATATAAATCAACCATCTACCAATATCGAATCAATCTTTCAATTTCCACAAATTAAGCAATTTGTGGATGCTAAGGTATAATATTTTAATTGCAAAAGCATTTATGTGCTAAAAATAATCTTTAATAGGCGCAAATGTCAGTTAACAAGCAAATTGTCCTATTAATGCATTCTTTGCCATGCTAATCTAGCTGAACAAACATAAATGTCCTATAAAATACAGGAAATAGAAAAATAATTTCATTCTATAAATTTTCATTTAACATTTTGTCTTCTCTTTCTTCTCATTTTAATTTCTCTCTTTTTACCTATTTACAATTTTCATATTGCTAAGAGCTATTTGTAAATCACTGATATCTCATTGATATTAGCGATTTCATTTTTTTTTTTTTCAATTTCAATCAAATCTGTACTTTTCCTTAAAAATAACAAACTGCTTTTTTCTTTTTTTTTTTTTTTTTTTTTTTTTTTTTTTGCAATACATTTATGCTACCATAAAACTTTCATTTTTCTCTTATTTTTCTTTTTTTTTTGGACAAATTTTAGATAAATTTTTAAAGCATTGAAATTTCTTATCAGTAAATTATTTTGAGAAATTTTAGTAATTTATAGTTATATTTTTTGCCTCATTATCATTTATCCATAATTTTTTTTCTTTTTTTTTTTAGAAATTATTAGAATTAAAAGAGAAATGATAAGAATTACTTATGATAAGTTTAGCTACTGATAGGATAAGTATCAGTTTCAAATTGTAAAGTTAATTAGAGATATTTGCGCGTTATAATCATTATTCGAATTTTCTTCAATACCACAATTCTTCTATCTTATGAATCTGTGTATGTGTGTGTGTGTGTGTGTGTGTGTGTGTATGTGTCACATTTTTGTCGCATTTAAAAGCGCTCAATTTCTATTTTAAAATTTTCACTGTGTGAATTATTTAAGCAATTCAAGTGCAGTTGATATTTCTATACATCAATTCATTATTACTTCCTCTTTCATTCTCACTTCATAAGTTTAATAATAATATTTGTTAAAGTAAAGTACCATTCCTTCTTTCATCCATAATTCTCTAAATTTCTTCGTTTATTGTCTATAACATTTTAAATATTTACAAACTAATTATTAAAAATAACACATTTTAAAGTTGTAAAAGTATTTCATATCGTAAAGAAGCATTTAGAGAAATTTTTCTTTTTTGAAGTATACTTTTAATTACTTTGTTAATTAACCTATCTTTACTTTTAATTATTTTGTTTTAACCTATCTTTATTTTTAATTATTTTGTTAATTAACCAATCTAATATTTTTTAATCATCCTTTCTCATCAATTTAGAAATTAATAATTGGACAAAATAGCAGTGGACAGGAAAATTTCGCATAATTAAAAAGCTTAGTTTTGCAAAAATTTGCATGATGATAACTTTGCGAAAAAAAAAAGAATTATAAATCAAAGATATCAATGATAAAATCACACATTTTTGTAGGATTAAATGATAAATAAAATTGTAAAATATGATACAATTGCCATATTTATCAATTAATTATTGATTCAAATTTTATCACAATTTGATTAGATGCTAAATGAAGTAATGAATATTTTCAAATTTACTAATCCTTTATTATTTTTTTTTTCTAAGCTAACATTGCTGCAACAATTATTATTATTATTCTAAGATAAAGCAATTCACTTTAAGAAATATTTACAATCAATTCAAACATTCAAATGATTATAACAAATGTTTTCTGATCATTATTCGTTATCGAAACGGAAAGCAATTTGATAAGAAATTTTTAGTTTATGAATTAAATTTAAATTTAGAGTAACACCTATAATTGTTACAAAAATAAATCTGATTAATCTTATCATCATAAACAATAATTGATAATTTAAATCTCTTTCTCATTATCATTAGTTAAAACTTTAATCAGAACATGATAGTGTATCATTTAATCACTGGAACAAGACTGCTTATCAATGAAAACAAAATACTTCGAATTGTAAGAATCGATAACAAAATAGTTGTAGTATTTTTCACATTTATTTTCATACGTTCTTTCACTTACGCAGTACAATGTCCGATATTTAGACGTATTTTGACGTGAACCAGAATGTTTCACGGAAAATTTACATTCCATTTTAAGTGGATTATTTTCATGAAAGTTTTACATTAAAGCATCTTTCTTTCCAAAATCAGAAAGCTTTTCTTCTTTTTACAAAATTCAAAATTGCTTTTATAAAAGCTCATCTTCTGTAGGTAAAATTTCTGAATTGAATAATCATTTCCGAATTGATTAATCATTAACCGGACATTGTGCACTTTTCAGACATCTGATAATATTGTACGGTAGTAATCAGTTCGAGAATTTCACTCATCCGACACATTCTTACTTTAAACCGATTCCTGAACAAAATTTTACAATTGTTTATAATCTAAATTCAATAAATTACCGCAATTGTAACTTTTGATTATTTTAGGAAATTTTTTTTTTTTGTTTAACTTTTTGTTTAACTTTAAAAAAATTCTCTTTCATTTACAACCATTTTATAATTTATAAAAATTCTTCAAAAAATTTTTTGAATTGTCATAAAAAAAAACATTTAAAAACTAATTAATGAATTTCAGGAAGAAATTCCATATGAAAATATTAAAAATACTTCGACATCAAGAATAGCAGAAATAGAAGCAAGTGATCAACTTAAGATTATGTTCGTTTTCTTATAAAAAATATTAATTTTGAACTTATCAAATATAACTTATCCATTAATCACTGATTTTATCATTACTGATATTGCAGAGAGTTGGAAGAAGCCACAAAATTTGTACTTCAGTCACCAATAAAATCTTCTAGGAATAAAAATAAAATAAGGTAAAACAATTTTTAAAAATGATTTTTTTTTTTTTAATAGCTCTAACTTTATCAGTGGTTAATTAAATTTCTTAACATTGTGAAATTATATTTCTACATCATATCAGTATGCTATGATAATCACATAATGCAATCTTATTATAAGTTAGATAAGAAAGAAAAAAGTTGGGAATAATTAAAATCGTGAAAAATAGTGAAAATTTATATCTCATTAAATAATTTATTAAAATTTTCATTTCTAACAATGATAATTTTATATATCAAATTATTTCAGTGATTAAAAATAGTGAAAATTTATATCTCATTAAATAATTTATTAAAATTTTCATTTCTAACAATGATAATTTTATATATCAAATTATTTCAGTGATTAAAAGTAGTGAAAATTTATATCTCATTAAATAATTTATTAAAATTTTCATTTCTAACAATGATAATTTTATATATCAAATTATTTCAGTGATCAAAATGAAGATTTAAAATCATATCGTAGCATTGCGGAACGACGTTTAGAAAAAAAAAATAAGATGACAAAAACATACAATAATATCAATACTGAAAAAGCTTTGGTATGATATTTACATTTTTCTCAAATTAAATTTAGCATATTTTTTTTTTTTTTTAAATTCAATTTTACGTTACAATTTTAGAATATACGTGACATACGTCCAGAATTTCACGTGTCACAAAGTCACATTTACGCATAATAATAAAGGATTAATAAGTGTAAATATGATATGAATATATTTAAAAAAATTTTTTTTTTTATTTTTCTGCTAATTAGCTAATTAGTCATAAAAAGAAAGACATCTTTTATTAATATCAAATTTCAATTGCAGCAGAATGAAATTAAAATGGAATCAGAATGGCCAACAACTCCTCCTTTACCAAAAGTACAAGTGGTGGATGTCCCAAGGTAAAAAAAAAAAAAGAATCATTTGAAATGTAAATATTTATTCAAATAAAATATAAAATTCATTCCTTAATAAGTTATTGAAATCGAGAAAAATTAACTTAACAAATTTCTTGATTAGTAGTATTTGATAAAGAATTGTTATTCCATTTTGATAAGAATAAATGAAACAACAATCCATCATAATATTTTATTATTTCTTAAATTTTAATAAAAAATCAAAAATAAAATCAACAAAAATATTTTTATTGTTGATATTTCTTTTATTTATTTATTTATTTTTTAAGGTTTTTCTTTCCAAAAGGAGTTCCAATTTCAATATCTGAGAATGAAGCAGCACTAAGACGAGTTAACGATGTATTCAGTACAATTGGAAATAAGGTATTAAATTATTAAATTTGAATAAAATTTGGGCATTATTCAAATTTAATTTAAATTTAATTCAGGTAACAATGATTAATATGGCAGAGGTATGTCGAGCAGCTGGTATACCCATCTACTGGAAACGATCTGTTTATGATTCATGCTGTAATAATTTGTCAAGATCAATAAGCATAGCTGATTTTGCTTCCTGGTGGAATAGGTATTCAATTTAATCATATCATTTATCTTTTTTGTGATAGGTAATCACATAAAAGTAATCTTAGCAAAGTTTAAATTACTCATTTTTTTTTTTTCTTACTTAGCATACTTATTTTTTATATATACTTATTTTATCATTTTAAATACATATTTTTTAAATAAAATTAGTAAATTCTTCATTTTAAAAATATGTTTTTGAATAAAATTAGTAAATTTTTCATTTTAAATACGTATTTTTTCAATAAATTTAGTATATTCCTCATTACTAATTGAAAATTTACCAAAATTCGATTATGTCAAAATTAAAATAAAATTTGAAATTAATCGTATATTAATGTTAATGTTCAATACTAATTAATTATAAATGTATAAATACATTTGCATATTTTAATTAACTCTTGTAATAATTTTTAACATTTTTTAAAAAATAATATTGCTTCAATTTTCTCATATTACAACTGATAAGATATCACATTTGTGATAAAAATTTTAACAAATCCAAACTGATGGAAATATATTTTGAATTAAACGATGCGAAATAATTGATACTTTTCAGAATTATCATTAAACTTAAACCTTAACTTTTATCATTAATCATTATCATTAAAATTTAAATTTTCAGAATGACTGCAGTAGCACATGATGAAGCAGCCCGTTTTGTTTATACCCTAGCTGGGCCTAATCGAAATTATTTGACCAAAGAAGATCTGGCACCAATCCTTAAAGATCTCATTGAAACCTTTCCAGGATTACATTTTCTTCGTGAAGCTGAAGAATTTCATTCAAGATATGTTGAAACGGTTTGTTTATTTGTTTATTTTTTTTTTCATAATTTTAAAGAAAGTAAACAAAATTTTTTATTTCTTATTTCATTTAATTCCAGCATTTCATTTATTTTGATATAAAAATTGAATAAATTTTGCAATTAAATTTGATTTCTAAGATAGATCAGTTAAGAAATAAAATCATATCATATCAAAACATACATAAACAATTGATAATAAAATTGATTTGTTTATTTAATTTAATTTTTTTTTTTTTGTATTCATTTCAAATTTAATAATCTTTCAAAATTTTCAGGTAATAGTAAGGATATTCTGGGCAGTCAATCGATCATGGACTGGGCGAATTACAATTAACGAATTACGTCGATCTAATTTTCTCGAGGTAAGTGACAAAATGAAATGTGAAAATTTATTGAGACAGACTATTATTTGCTTATAATTTTTCAAGGACTAATTTATTTACTTAATTTTTAACTTCCTAAAAAGTTAAAAAAACGAGGATAAAGAAGGTATAAGAATAAAGTGACATAAATTAGTTAGTTTTAAAATAAATTAAATTAAATTTAGTTTATTAAAAATTTCATCATTTTGTAGCTTTTTAGACAATTAGGAAGTTGGAGACAACAGATGACATCAATGCAATAACAAATTACTTCAGCTATGAACATTTTTATGTAATTTATTGCAAATTTTATGAATTAGACAAAGATCATGATTTGATTATCAACAAAATCGATATGTCACAACACTGTAACGGAGGTAGAAAATTTTAATATTAGTTTTATTTATTTTTGCTATTAAGAATATTTAGACAGTTATATTTTCTTGAAATATTATGGATTCATTTTATTTGTTTATACATTATTATAATTGTGACAATAGTTATATTTGTTTATGATTATTATAATTGCTGAAGGATTTATTGTATATTTTATAAAAATTTAAAATTTTAATTCAAGTCAATTATTTTTAGCACTTCCACCACAAATTATCGATAGGATATTTAGCGGAGCGGTGACAAGATCACCAGCAGGAAAACGTATCCGGCAAGCACTTGAAACAATCGGTTATACGGATTTTGTAGCATTTTTACTTGCAGAAGAAGATAAAAGGCATCCTACTAGGTATTTTCTTCACTTTTTCTTTTTAAAAAAAAAAAAAAAAAAAAAAAAAAAAGAAAAAATGAATTCAATGAAACTTTTCCTTTAATTTAGTGAAAAATTAATTAATTGAATTAATTTAAATTCTCTTTTTTCAATTAATTTAATAAATGAATGAAATTTTTGCAAAATTTTACAGCATAGAGTATTGGTTTCGATGCTTAGATTTAGATGGTGATGGTGTATTATCAATGTATGAAATGGAATATTTTTATAATGGTATTAAAAATAAAATGGATCAACATAATATTGATTCGATGCGTTTCGATGACGTAATTTGTAATGTACAAATTTTAATTTATTCTCTTAAAATTATTCATTATTAATAAAAAAAAAAAAAAAAAAAAAAATTCTCATATGTTTAATTATAATTTATCAAAATTATTATTATTTAAAAAATTTTAAAATAAATTTATTTATTTATTTTTTTTTTTTTAGCTATTAGATTTAATACGACCAAAACAACCAAATGTTATTTCATTGTCGGATTTGAAAAAGTGCCTTTTATGTACCAGATTTTTTAATACATTTGTTAATTGGGTGAAATATTATGAACAGGAAGCTAGTGAAGGAGAACGAGCTACAGTGGTTTGATTTCTTGCTAATAAATAAAATTATTTACTTATTTATTTTTTGTTCTTTAATTTATTTACTAATTTATTTATTTGTAATGTAAAATAAATATTATATAGAAATTTTCTTTCTTTTCTTTTTTGTAAAAGTTACAAAGAATTTTGAAAAGAAAAAAAAATTTTTTTTTTTTTGAAAGAAATTTCTAACATTTCAGACAGACGGTGAAGAGGAATTGAATGATTGGGATAGATATTGCTTAGAAGAATATGAAGCGCTAATGGCAGATGATCAAGATAATGATGAGCTTGAGGATATGTTCGTTTTAAATTTCATTTCAATTTAAATTCATTCATAATAACAAAAGATATATTTTATTAGTCTACTAAATCAATCATTTATTTTCTTTCCAAAAACAAAAACTTTACAATAATTGATTTATTTGCATATCTAAATGATTGTTGATACATATCAAATTATATATAACTGGTAAATAATTTCCAAAATATAATCATAAGATTACAAAATATTTACGTAATACATTTATGATAATATTGAAGTAAAAAATAAATAAATAAATAAATAAATTAAGCTAATTTAGCTAATCAAAAAAATTACAGTAATTTAAATTTGGATGATGATGATGATCTGCTAATTGGTAGCAATATTAACACGGCGGTTAATTTATCATTGCGCGAATTTGGCGATTCTCAGCGAACAAAAATTTTAGAAGCAATATGAGAAAAAAAAAAAAGAAAGAGAAAAAATGGTAAACGAAAAAAGTTATCTCAAATTATTGATTTTGATGTAAGGAATATTTTACATAGAAATGGTTTCATTCATTATTTTATGTATGCTATTGAAATTTGTTTACTTTTTATCTGTTTATTTGTTCAGAGAGTGTGATAATTATTTTTGTTGTGGGTTTTTTTTTTTGATTTCTCTAAGTCAATCAGTGAAATGGAAAAATAAGTTTTGATGAATATACGAATTGGTGATATTTATAGATGAATTTGATTTCAATCGATAAGAGTGACAAATAAAATAAATTACTAAGTTTGATAATAAATAGAAATGATAAATACACTGATAAATGATTTATGAAGATAGCAAATACTAAAAATAAAAGAATTTAGCTATTTAAAATCAAAAGTGGAGCCTTTTTTATTATGTAAATTTTGAAATTCTGTTATTTTTCATTCGAAAAATTTCGAAAAAAAAAATATTTTGTAGAAAATATTTGCTAAAATTGTAAATTATTTGCTGTGTTGTATATTCGTTTAATTCATTAACGAAGAAATGAATAGAACTACCATGAAATGAAATGAAAAGGTCAAATTCAAGCATAAATATTAGCAGTGTACTTTGAAATAAGTCCGACATTGTAAACAGAAAGTTAGAAGCTAAAGCTAGGCATACATAAAATCGATATCTAATGAGTATGTGTTCAATTTCATGAAAATCTCATCTACTTCAATCTTCTAACCTTCTTTGCATTCAATAATTGTTTACCACAAAGGAAAAAAAAAAAAAAGAAATCATTGAACATTGTAAGGACACTTCTTTTGCTGGACAATCGTATTCGTTTTTTTATCAAAGAAACTAATGAATGAAATCAAATTTGGTTAACAAAAACGAATTAGAATAACAGCAGACGAATTTTAGACCAAATTTCTCTTTAATTTATTCAAATCACCAATTCGTATTAAACTGACTTTTATTTAATTCTGCACTCAGTTTTGTTTACTATTCTTTTTCCTACACTATTCGTGCCAATATTCAAATATGATCTAATAAATTTTATATATTACTTGCTTCAATGATAAACAAAACTATAAATTTGAAAATGGGACAAATCAAATCTTAATGACAACTAATATCGTGCAGTAATTTAGCAAAAACTTCGCAATGTTTTTTTTTTTTTTTTTTTTTTCTTCATCACAAACAGTTTTTACTTTTACTTCAGTTTTTCGAGAAAAGCAGTCAGCAAAGAACTCCCCTTCATCATTTACTACACATTATTGAATTTTTAAAAATGGGTTACGCTATATATTTGTAAAAGTAAGTAGTGGCAGAGTGATTAATTGTCGTTGTAAACTAAGAGTTTTATGTCATTTCTTTCACTTTTAGCAGCATTTAAGAAAAAGGACATATGTCCTTAAAATCGTAAGAGAATTGAGCAGCGTCGTGAACATAACAGTAGTAATAAAACAAAAAACTTTGCAAAAAAAAAAAGAGTAATCAGATTTTGTTGTGTTGACAATGATGTAAAGTCAAAGCAAAAATTTAATGCAAATTAAGCCTCCATGTACGTTGAACAGAAAATGATAAAGGAAACTGAATGGATTAAAATAGTAAAAAAGTCTATGAATCGACCAAAATTTCATATTTAGCTTGGTACTTAATAGAAAGCCGTTAAAGTAATGAAAACTAAAACTGTAAAGCCAACTTACTAGACGACAAGAACTTTAATCAAACATAAATGTTATTGCAAAAATAAAAAAACAATTCAAAAAATATCGAAATGCAAATGGCAACAAAAATAATAAAAAGCTCATGAAAAGTTTATCGTTGGTCCAACCGTTCTTTGGGTTCCATAATAACTATAGAATTACCGCGAATAACAACCATTCCGATCTCGTTTTTATCGCCATTCTGCAATGCAAAATTTTTATCAATTATCAGTTCTGCAATCTGGGAGAACTGCTACTGAACCTCATGTCAAAGACGATACTTTTTCTAAATATAGAAAATAATCTGCGTCTGCGAAATCAAAAATGACGCAATACGTAATGAGCTCATTCCAACAAGTCAACTAAAATTCGTCATCCGTTTACGCAGTATTCGCAACATTTACAGAGAATATTAATATCGAATAGTCTGCTTTCTATCTTTTGACAATCACTAACTAACTGTATCAGCTGATCTACTACCTTTATATTTATAGTGGAGACTTCATTTATGAGATCAAATATAGCAAAAATTTAATCTATACAAATTTATGAAATGGAGAAATAAACGATCAATTAAACATTACAACTCAAACAACTGCAAAAATGACAAGATGTAACCTTTAAATTTTCGACAGCATCCTCAACAACAATATTCATGAATGGATCGAAACCTCGAAGAATGCCTGACACACTACGATTGCCATTCAATTTCAGATCAACTTGTTTGTCCATATACTTTTTCAATTCGGGTGGATGCGTTTTACTCATTTTGCGGTTCCTTCTTAATTTCACAAATAAACCTAAAAAAGGAAAAGCGTGAATACAAGTGCTAACAAAACAGAAATGACGAAAAGTCATATGGACGATAAAATAAAGTATTTTTTAAATCAGTTGTTTAGGAGCATTGAATTGAGATCACAAAATTTTAGGAGAAATCAGGATATCCCGATGAAACCTTCAGTAACAAGCTATTCTCATAAGACTGCACAGTCCAATAACCTTCACAACTTTAAAGACATCTCCGCGATAAGATGGACCGAGACACCGCGGTACCGCCAATACTGAAATGAAAATGGAGCGATTACAGGCTATTTGCCTCCCAGCCTAACCTTTCAAGAACCCATCGAATGTTGCAGCTGCGAAGATAAGAGAGATAGTAAGAGGATTAGGAAATAAAAAAATAGATAATAAAAGATAGAGCAGTACAAGAAGAAAGAGTAAAGAACATGTAAGATAGAAAGCAAAAGATTTCTTATGACATTAAGCGTATTTAATCCTTAAAATAAATAAAAAGAAAAGAGAGGAAAAGAAATGCGTGAAGAAGAGAGATAAAAAGAAAAAATGTACAAAAATGAGAACGGATAATGAAGAGTGACTAGAGTGGAAGAGTTCAATCTATGATACTCTGACAGCTGTAATATTATCCGCTCAGTGTTCCTTCCATTCTTTCATAGCATTTAGCGCATCGGAGGATATGAGCGCTTTCCAAGTGTGCTTCGGACGGTTCACGTAGGGTTTCCAGCGTATTTCACGTGTTAGTTAAGTGTAAGAAGGTAGTTAGAGTACGTTGAAAGATATAAAATGTAATGCTGTAATGTGTTTTTTTTGCAACATTTGCAACATTCATGCAACGTTTCATAAATTTAAAAGATTTAGTAGAAAGTAGCTTAATGACTCATCTCTTATGTTAACATCTTTTCATTATTTTTTAAAATTTATATTTAAATGACAAAATAGTATCAATTTTGCAGTAATATCACATATTGTCTTTGCCTTATTCAACGTGTTTTTTTTTTTTTTGATAATTTTGTGCATTTATTATGGTTTAAAGTAATAAGACTGAAATACATTAGCATTTAACATCTATTTTGTTCATTTCAAATATTCGAGAATAATGTAGTATTGAGAATTTATGGAATTTATGTGTGTAAATTTTAATGTAATGCTTATATATGCAGCGTTCATAGATATATATTTCACAGAATCGATATTGATGAGTCAGAAGAAGACACTTGGAACTGTTACAGAATGTATAGAGATTTGTGATGATTCGGTATCTTTGCTGAGCGATGTTAATCTTTCAGTTTTAAATACTTCACCACTTTTAATCGGTAAGGAGCAAATTGTTATAGGAAAAGTACTTAGCCGATTCAATTCATCGTTTTTTCTTTTTCATTGTTTTTATAGGATGAGGAGCAGACTTTTATATTCTTCCCAGCTAGAGAAATTTGTCAGGAAAATTGTTTTTCCTTGGAAGGGATTTATTTTGAGATTTCATTGCGGAAAAAAGTAATTGAAAAGATTTATCAATTTTTTGATCATTTTGAACCATACATTAGGGGCAGCTGTGTAATTATTCTTTATAAAAGATTGAACATTGTTCTTTTCATTGTTTTGTTTGCAGAAGAAAAATGTGGTGAGATAGCGAAAAGTGATGAGAAGGATAAGGGGAAGTGGTTTCACGCGAAGCCGTCTAGATTGAATTTTGCATCGTTATTTCATGGTGGATCACATCGAAAATATAAAAGGTTCGTGTCCGTTTTATTTCTTATGGATTACCAAGATTCATCGTTTTTTTATTTGTTATATATTTAAAGCACGTGATGTGCAGTAGAACTTTTATTATTTGCTTGTTAGTTTAATAAGTCGAGTATTTTGCATACCTACATATGGAGTATGGCTAGCTAACTTCATTAATGGTAGTCTCACTTTGCTTCCAATCGATTCCTCTAAAATTACTTTTTGACAATCTTATCTGTAGTTTGATTCATCGGAATAGGTGAGCAAGTATAAGGTACAATATTCAGTTTCGTTGCAAAGTTGTGGATTTCTGTCATGTTTCTCTTTTGTTCTTAACTGCTAACTCTTATTAAACTGTTACTCTTTCTTGCAGAATAACCTTGAAACCATTATTTTTGTTCCGGTTATATGCTTTCAAAAGCGAAACATTGTAAAATAAGGAAATTGGGGAGTCATGAGTTAACATTTGAGTAAAGTTAACGTTTCCAAATGTTCTTTACCAGGATAAGAATTAGGAGGGGTTAAGCTGAATAGTAGACAAGATTGGATAAAGCGAAAATGGAACAGTTACCTCCAAATATCTAAATTTCTCTGTCCGTCTCAGAGCACTTATTGTTATTAGTAGTTGACCTAACAATTCAAGCAATTAATTACGCAAACATATATATCTTTATTAAACGATAATGTGGAATAGCGTTTTTAATTTCGGTAAATCGTTCTGGTTTATTTACCGCTAATGAATAAGTGACACCAATCGTTTGATGATTATGGTAATTAGTATATATTGTGTCTATATCGTCTGAAGTCTATATCGTTAATTGATTTTTTAAATTATGAAAATGTATGTTTTGCTGAATGGAATGTTTTTTCCTCAGATTTTCTAATTGCTAAATTTATTCGCTCTTCGTCAGTGTTGAATGATCTAACGCTTAGCGACCGTTTATGGAAGAATGCTTTGTTTTCGATCTTGATTTATCGGGGAAAAAATTTATTTGGATTATTGTTCTGTAGGTACATCATTATTCCTGATTTTTATGTTCTATTGATGAATTTTTTATTGAATGTGTACTCTGCATAATTATGAATCGGCATTTTATTAATAATTTTAATTACTGCTGAATATAGACTAACACAATATTCTCATATTAAGATTTTGCTATATCGTATCTTTCCAGAAACTTCTTCTTTACTGTTCAATATTTGTTTTAAAAATTCATATTAAAAGAAGTTAAAATTATATTATATTAGTATATTAGTTCAAGTCTATAATTAACAAGGAATAGCCAGTTTTCTGAAGATTATATAGATCTTAAATGGAAACCTTAGCTTTTTTTTACTGGATCACTATTTAACTTTGTTTTACTGAACATGTTGAAAAATTTCCGATGCGTAATCAGCAAAATTTATAAAGAAGTTATGGAAATGTCTCCATTCGAAATTGGTTTCCGATTCTCCATTACACATTTACAATGAAAAATTAGCAAAATTGTCTCCGTTTCAGAAGCAGTAGTGTAGTAGATATAGCATCATCAAAAGGTGTCGATGAAATGACTCAAATAAATAAGGATAGTTCATTATCTAGTGCAAATGCTGGCTCGGTACCACAGTTAGATTCCCGAATTCTCCAGGATAGTTGTTCATCAAGTGTCGGTGGGCAATCGCAATTTGCGAATAATGAAGATGAACAAGGTAAGTTCTTTGCATTTTATGATATATCCGGTAACAAAATATCTAGTGATTGGACTGCATTTTTTTTTGGAAAAAAAGATACCAAACGATTCTATGTTTAAATCGCTAGAAGCCCACTCTTTTTTCAACCAAGAAGGAACATTTTATTTGGCTTGGATGAAGCTTGCAGAAATATGGCCATCCTTTAATATTCTCCAATTATTGTCATATATTCATCGTGACGGAATATCCTTGTTGATTAGTTCTGATTCATACAAATATACTTGTTCTAATTCCATACAATTTGAGAATAGATTATTCAATTTATACGTAGTAGTAAGGAGAAAAGTTTCGTGAGATGGGTGAAATTATAAGAGGAGACATCATGTTTTTTTATTGTTATTAGTTATTAGGTCTTGGTGTTAATGGTAGCAAAATAGATTTTGAAAGAACATTAGAAAGCATTAATGAAGAATCTTCTTGTTTTGATGCAGTGGTTATACCCGATACCAGTTCATTACAACCAGTACCACAACACTCATTATTGAGTAATTCTTCTGCTCCGATTCGAAAATATTGGGAGTGTCCATTATGTTTCATTCGACAACCCTCAACGAACTTTCCTCGTCTTTCTTGCTGTAATCATCGGTCGTGTAAAAATTGTCTTGTACAGGTTAGTTTACTTTGCTTAAGACATCTCTGTTGATTTGCCAAGATTCATTACACAGGCTCATAATCTCTAGCAATTATGGAATTCATTATTTTAGTTTAAGATTTTAAATTGTTTGCAGTACTTGCAAGTGGAGATAATGGAAAGCAGGGTGCAATTAACTTGTCCGGAATGCAGTGAGTTGCTTCATCCAACGGATATTTACTCCTTAATGGCACATTGCCCTGATTTAATCAAAAAATACGAAACATTTGCATTGAGGCGTGTATTAATGATGGATCCAGATACTCGATGGTGTCCAGCGCCCGATTGCACGTTAGTTTTCTATTTTTCAATCTCGAGATTTTCTTCAATTTCGGAAATATGGAATTTGTATTGATTATTGGTAGGTATACAGGAAGAGAAATTCTGCTTCCCTTTTGTTTTTGGTGTTTTTAAGAGCTAATCGTAGCAGTAAAACTAAAAGAATGTATTTATTTGTTATGAAAAAAAAAATTTACTCAAGCGCATATCTAACATTATATATTTGTTAGTAACATCCGTTATGAAATTAAATTGGAATATGTAGTCGGTATGAATGGAAATAGCCACGTGAGTATGAATGACAATGTATGCTTCCAAACATTTTAAACATTTAAGTAGACACTGTCAAGTAGTGGTAGATCTTAGGTAAAAACTGCCGTTAATTTCTAGAAAAATGAATTTTACAAAAATTAGCAGAAATAATTTTGCTAGTTATTATAGATTTCCATCATGTAATTAGCATGAAAGAGTGCTATCACCAAACGATACATTGAATGGCAGCAAAATTCTTTAAAATATGAATGCATTCTTAGACAAACACAGTTAAGGTTTTTACGTTGGTTGTTAGTCTGAAGTAGTACCCAAATTTAGGTACGCGGTTATCGCAACGGCATGTGCTGCCTGTCCGGAACTACGCTGTGAACGTCCCGGTTGTGGTGCACTTTTTTGTTATCATTGCAAAGGACCATGGCATGCCAGTCAAACCTGTGATGAGGCTCGTAAGGAGCGTGGAGAAATATATCGACGAGCAATACCACAACTCTCGGCTACACAAGAAAGCACCCTCAAACGTACTAACGTTAATTTTTTATATCTTGAAAGTTTATTAATCCTCATTTCATTTCAAATCATAACATTCGCTTGTTACTTGCAAATCACTATTAAAGTGCTGTTTATGCAAACATTTTTTATAGTTGAAATTTATTTCATATTCATATTGTAGAAATGCATTATGATGACAGTATTGTTCATTCTTATTTCTCAGACTTCTTATTTGACTGAATTTAGGTGGAGATATCAAAGCGTGTCCTCGATGTCGTACATACATTGTTAAGATGAATGATGGTTCATGCAATCACATGGTGTGTGCGATGTGCAGCGCTCAATTCTGTTGGCTTTGTTTGCGAGAAATCAATGATCTACATTACCTGAGGTGGATAATTCATAAATTTTATTTTAGATATATTGACCAACAAAATATTCAAAAAAAGTGTTATTAGGCTACTGTATAGAAAAACTAAACCACAAAACGTTATGTTTATTTGGTAATTTATTGATATGTGTCTTTTCAAGTTTCTCCATAAGTTAAAAAATTTTGTATGAGAAGGGAAAAGCTGAATAATTCTTATTCTTTCAGTCCTACAGGTTGCACTTTTTGGGGAAAAAAACCTTGGACCAGAAAGAAGAAATTACTATGTCAAGTTGGAACTTTGATTGGTGCGCCTGTTGGTATTGCACTGATTGCAGGTTTGGCAATACCAGGCATAATTTTTGGTGTACCCGTATTTGTTGGAAGGTAATTCGGTCCTAATCTTTTTATTATATTAAAAGTTACTTGATTCTTCGAAACCAGTAAGTATCAAAAATCTGCAGTTTATTTATAGCTTAGTTACTAACCATCTCAATCTTATCTACTGTTGACCGATCTCACATAAATGTCTCTCGAGTGACCAATTTCTTTTTAATTACCAGTTTTATTCTCACTCTGTTTAATGTAAGTGATCGACGTGTGCATCAAATCTCAGATTCCTAATGTCGAAATATGTAGGAGTGAATTTGTCATTTGTTCTTAAATAATTGTGTTTCATTTACTCTATTGCAATATTTTTGTCGATGACCATAGATGTTTAGTGGCATTCAATATTTATCAGAATAAGTTATTTTGTTAAGATATTTTTAGAAAAGTGAATCAGCGCTTTGCTCATCTAACTAAAATTCGTAGACGTTGTTTAACGGCTGGAAGCGTAATAGGCTCACTAGTCGTTAGTCCAGTTCTAGCGGTGATGGCTGTTGGTTAGTTAACTTATTGCTGTAAAAATAATACTTTTTCAACTTACAAAAAGTTGTAATGTTTTCCCTTTGATTTTTTTTTTAAACCATTTCAGTTTAATGAATTCACAGATTCTGAATTATTTCTTGACATTTTATATATTTATTAATTTTATAGGAGGTCTAGGTACACCGTTCATTGGTTTATATTTCAGGTGTGGGAGTTCCCATTATGCTAGCTTATGTTTATGGTGTCGTACCGCTCTCTTTATGTAGAAATGGTGGATGTGGTGTTGGTAGTGGTTCATCAAAACCAGATCAAGACGATCTTGATGATGACGAGATTTGGCATGAAATGAATATGCGTGAGTTTTGATGTTGCACATTTTTTGTCTGCTTTTTCACTTAAAATATGAAACATATATATGGTAAATGAATTTGCGATTATATTTGTTGCAGATAGTCATGAAAAATCTCCACTACTGAACGATATGGAACGACAGGATGGTACATCCGTCATTACCAGAATATCTGTAAATAGTGCTTTGTCCGGTACGCAGCAGATGCCTAATCGTCTACAAGTGCAGGCCGAATTATGTCGTCGTAGGCCGAGTATAGAATCAGGTAAATTTATTATTGCATTATTTGGAAGACGATGTATAATTGGATATGTTTATTTCTTTCATTCGAATCTGTAAACTTTTAGGGATCAATAGTTTAGGCGAAAAATACAACTATGAAGAAGCGAGCACCAAAGCTATGGCTGGTTCGCAATATAATGATGATAAGGTTAAGTTCAATTTATTCATGCTTTCAGATTGATTTAGTGGATCATTTAGAATAGAAAGAGCAATTTCGGGGACTAAATTTTTAAGTTATCACTGCAAAAATATAAATTGAATCATTTATATTATTTTTATTTACTGGCTATTTCGATCATCTTTCAAAAGGAAGATTTTGTTCAGTTTCTATTACTGTTTATAACGAGGATTGATAATGGTTATAATAGGAAAAATCAAGAATAAAATTAACAATAAGTTTAAAAAATAAGTGATATTTTATTGATTACAGAGTTTGCAAACAGTATGTTCTGGTCAAGAAGCGGTGAGTTATTGTGAAGAAGTAGCAAGCATTGTTGCTTTATCAGGTTCGGTTATTGACGCCAAATCTCTCACTGATAGTGCCAGTGGACGTGTTTTTGTAACACAGATGTGCTGCCGCGAACGAGACCTGAGTCCATCATCACAACACGCGATTGCTTGTAATGATCTTTCAAAATCAGGTCATTCAGTCATCTGTTATTTGTTAAGCTGAAAATGTTTAGTAAATAAAATGGCAAGTCAAAGTAAAGTGTTTGGATATAAATGTTTTGTTTATTTAAATGACATGTATCTTTTCAATGAAAATATTCATAAGCGTAAACTGATTGACAATATATCAAGTCAGAAGGTTCAATTCTGAACATTTTGTAAATCCTCAGTACTTTTAGGTGATGAACGCTCTTGTGAAAATCAGCAAAATAATGGGCAAGAAACAATTACTTGTACTCGGTACTTATTGTTTCCTTCAAACTTTAAAGGATTTTATTTTAATGCAAATAATTGTATGTTTAATATAATGGATTTCTGGAGTAAATTTTACACGATTTTCACTAAATAAATTTATGTAATTATAGGGAAGATGCTATGTCATGGGGTGGCGTTTGCAAACGTCGTGGTCACGCAGCGAACATCGTTTCTTTAAATGGAGCTATGGCATCACATCGGGTTGCGCAAACATATTCCAATATAAAATGTGATTTCATTACTGAGAATACTTCAGGTAATAAGCTAAGTGAGCTTACTACAAATGCTAATACTACTTGAATTGAATAGACTTAGACAAAATTGGAAAGTACTTTGTATCCTTGCAGGTGGTGATTCTGAAGAATTGGTATTAATGGTTGACGAAAGCATTCCTCAACCTAGCGATTCAAATAAAGATTTAAAGCAGTCATCTTCAGGTTCAACTAAAGTTCGTCAGGTAAAGAAATTTTCTAATACTCAAATTATTTGAATTAATATCCATCATAATATCCTTGTAAAGGTGTATTTTAAGTGTTGCTATGATTACTTGTATAAACTTGCTTATGTTTATTATGTTAAGCATTGCGAATAATGAAATGTCCGGCATGAAAAGTTGCTGCTTTCCTTTTCTTAGGAAGTGACAAAAAACTTCCTGATATCCACATATTCTTTCGGTAATGTTTTAGCGTTAAAATATTTTGATTTCGTAATATTCGAAAGGTAGTAGTAACAAGATATTGTTTAGATTATTCGTTCTTCTCATTCAACTGATTCTACTGATTCAAAAGCTGATCGATTTCATATCCGTGCTCTTTTTGATACTATGAAGAGAATCGTCTCGGATGATATTGTTACTGAATCTGAAAAAGAGTAAGAATTAAGAATTTTATGTTAGGATAATTTTTGTTTCATATTTCAGATAACATTTGTTTTTCAATTAATTAAGCAGTTAATAAAAGAGCTAATATTATAACCAACGTGTGTCAAGTAACTGTTCTCTTTCCGTAGTTTGTCATGAAATCAAAAAGTAGAAGAAGGTTTCTACTATATTTTCATACATGCTCAATTTCGTGAACACTGGTAACTTAAAGGTTAAAAAACTGAGAAACTTTTCAGATCGGATGTTCAGCAGATCAGTAATTTTAATTTCCGTTCGGTTTTGCGCCATTCAACTCAGAGGAATGCAATGACAAATAATGTCGGTGAGTTTTTCTTTACCTCTAAATAAAGAATTAGTTATACTATAAAGTACAAACTATCACTGTTTAAATTTACAGCGTTGTTATTTTTTCTCTGATCAGTCATTTTGTACATTTCCTTCTGTACTTATTCTCTGTCGCATACTAAATATATTTATTAAAGAGATTTCTGAAAGAGCTCTTATGGCAATCTCTTTAATTTATCATCATTTTTTTTTTCTTTCCAGATACGCATAGTCACATTGATGCATGTTCGAGTAGTAGTGGTCAACGTCCACTGTCCTCCGGTTCAGAGCATTCCATTGCGATAAACATGAAAACAGACTATAGTAATGATGAAAACAATGATGTGAGGAATAAACGACATTTCTTTTCAAATCTTTTTATCAAACGTTGAAAATAAAATTATCTTTTTTTACTATACTTTTTTTTTCTCGACTATTTTTCGTTATCGTCCCTTTCAAAGTTCTTTATATTCGTTTCCATATCATGATAAGGTGTGTTGATTTGTTAGTCTTACTGTACATAAATTTTGCGGGTATTTGGACTTTCATTCAATAAACATTGCATTTTTCTCTGTTTAATAATTAATTAGTTATGTACTGTTCACTTCGATTATAATTATGTCACATAGTACTATCATGTTGGATGTTTCTGTTCTTCTGTTCTCGTTTCGCTTTCAATCAAAAAAAGATTCACTATGCATACTACTATACTAATTTAAACTAAAAACTGTGGTAGGATTTGTTTATTTTATTTTTTTAATTGTTGGATATATATAATGTATTATTTAGGCCTATCGAACGTGAAATAAGTGTAACTTAGCTTCTGCAGTACTTCGTACAAAACACTATGCAATGGAAGCTAAGTTAAATTTTGGTGAAGATGAATTGGTAAAAAACAAACAATAAAAATCAGAGATTAGGAATTAATTACGGGAATATTATGTTATTTTGTCTGCTCTCAATTTGCCATATTTTCATTGTTCAGAATGCAAGTTCATGTTCCCCACTTTACTTTAATTATTTATATCACAGAAATTATCATTTACAACGCCTTATTAAATAAATGTTGCAGTTCATTTTCTTTAAGACAGGTTTTCAATTCCATGGAAAATATTTTTTGACATTGTTCCATTTTTGATATTTAGGCTTCAGATTTCAAGTTTCTAATGCATGGGTGAGGAGTGTTAGAATTTTGACCTTGTACGATTTTTTTTCCATGTTTTCTCATCCATCGATTAAATATACTGACCTCAAAGAAAAATTGTAAGGAGAAGTCATTAAATATTAATGGTTTATAAAATGGAATAGGTGTTCCTTCTGAAATCTCATTTCCAGATGGTCATTTTGATATGTTGACAAAGTGAAAACATTTCTATATTCTGATGACTTAATGAGCGTTGGTATAGAAAAATTATGGAAGAATTATTTTGTTTTACATCAATTTCTATGTTATAGCACATTAACGAAAGTGGGAAGCACATTTGTGATAAACTGGTCAAAGACTGTTGGAAATTGTTACCTACCTTTGTGTTCAGAGATTTCTAAGGTAATATTTTTAATCTGTTTGATAAAATCCGAAGATATCAACTGTTACAATGCATTTTGTGCAAGTTATTAGTTGATTTGCTTTTGAGTAATTACTTTTGAGTAACATCTATGCCTTGGTATACTAGACTAACTGTTTTAGTGATTGTAAAGTTCGTTTCGTTAGATATCAGTCTTAATTGGACAAGGAGATTTTTCGTTTTAGATCTTTTGAAGGATTATGAAAGTAATTTGAAGGCGTTTTCATCTTTAAGATATGTTAGGCTTCCGGTTTTCCATAGCAAAAGCATCATCCATTCACTTGTTGTTTGTTGTATTTTCTTTTTTCTTTTTCAGAAAAAAAAAAGAAAATTTCTTTTTTATTTCAGATTTCGTTTCATAAGCAGTGAAAATGGCAGATGATGATTTAAAACTTGATTTGACAGGAAAAAAAAAGAAGTCCAAGAAGCCAATCGTATTGGATGATGAAACACCAAAAGCAGACGAAAATGTAGCTCCAGTTGGAGAATCAGAAGAACTGGTGTTGGGACCGAAAAAGAAGAAAAAAACACCAAAAGTACCTGTTGTTGATGAGGAACAACTTCCGGAAGAGGCACCGGAAGTTGTCACAGGTGCTGGTTTATCAAATCTTATTGATTCAAAAAGTGCATGGCCTGATTATACGTATGAACAACTGTTGGAGCTCGTTTTTGGTATAATGCGTGAACGAAATCCGGAATTGGCAGCTGGTGAAAAGAAGAAATTCGTGATGAAACCACCTCAAGTGGCTCGTGCTGGTAGCAAAAAGACAGCATTCGCTAATTTTGCTGAAATTTGTCGATTATTGAAACGGCAACCAAAACATGTGCTGCAATTTTTGTTGGCAGAATTGGGTACAACAGGTTCAATTGATGGTAACAGTTGTTTGATCGTTAAAGGACGCTTCCAGCAAAAGCATATTGAAAGTGTTTTGCGAAAATACATTAAAGAATATGTTGCTTGTCATACGTGTAGGTCTTCCGAGACGGAATTGACGAAAGATACACGTTTGTTTTTCTTGGAATGTAAAACTTGTGGTAGTCGATGCTCTGTCACTGCTATTAAGAGTGGATTTACTGCTATGGTAGGAAAACGTGCTGCATTGCGGCGCGCTGCAGAAGCTACTGCTGGTAAATAAATTACATAAAAACTTTCTCTGTTATATTCCATAGCATTTGGAGGAGTACGAGTAAAATTACTTCATTTCCATGTCCTTCTAATGAATTCTAAATTTATGGATGAATAGTAATATATTTTCAACGAATAATGACTTTTTTCTTTTATTATTTTTTCATTGACTCATATTTCTTTTCAAAAAAAAGAAAAAAGAATTCTTAAGAAAATTAAATTTTGGTTATTTTAACTCCTGTTTAATGCTAATAACAATTTACTTTGCATTGTTTGTTTTTCGTTTCCCTCTTCATAGAATTTACATTGTATTGATGGATATGTTTGCTTCACATATACTGATAAAGTTTTCTTTTTTGATGATATTAGTTGTAGTATTTCAGATAAAGGTATCGGGAATATGCCTTGCTTTTACTTAACACACATTAGCAGGACAGCAATTTTGGGTTGGATACTTTTCCTGTTTTTGTGATTCATGGAGGTCACAATCTTCATTTTAAGTTTCTGAAATGTGTTTCTCCATATATTCATGAAGGAATTTTAAAGTATTGGCATGCTTTGTGATTTTTTTTTTTATTGTGCTAGGAGTTCGAGTAGTTATCGATCTGTAACGATCGAATTCGAGTTTTGATTTTGAATTCATTTTGGTGTAGAGTTGTGCCAATTGCCACGAAGTATTTTCCAACAGACAAAGGCGATAAAATTTATTGAACGTAAAATAGTTTTGAACATTGTTCAGTAGATTTATATCAGAGTAAAAACTGATCATTTTTGTAATGCAATAATTTTAAGTAAAATCTTATTTTCACATTGAATACTAGGATGAAAATTTATCAGCAAACATGTTGATTTTGGATGTTTTCATTCTCTGGTTGGATTGATATCGTTGAACATAGCAGTTAAAGTAGGATATGCTTTTTTGGTTATAGATGAGGGATGTAATCTCTGCAGCAAGGAAAAAAAAAAAAATTTGCAAACTTCTATCAATCAGAATTAACTTTTCATAAAGAAAAAAAGCTATACAATATCAATTATCATTTAAAAGTATGGAAATTTCCTAGAACTGTTATTTATTCTTTCGTTATTTTCTATTGCAGTTTGTGGCAAATGTAATGGAACGATTGAAAATATCAGATATGAATAGTTTGGAAGGTTTAAAAAAGCAAATATGTTCAAATTGTGGTCGGAAACGAATGTATTTTTGTTACAACTGTAAAATTTATATGCCTAATGTGGAGAAATTAGTTCCTCGACTAGAGGTTCATTTTCTCACTTAACAGTATATTGGTTTAATCATTTTCTAAACAGAAAAATCTAAACAGGCATTAAATAACTAGGACTAATTTAAGCAGAAAACATTCTAGAATAAATTATCATCTTTTCTAATGTTTGTGTTATGATTATGAGGTTGCTTGGCAGAGAAATTGCTGAAAAAATGTTACTTTAAATTGCATTATTACTATCTTAATTTAGCATAATTTAATTATTATTCAATAAATAAGAAATGAAATTTACGTTATAATATGCATTTTTTAGCTACCAGTTCATATTGATATTATCAAACATCCACAGGAAAAGAATAGTAAAAGTACTGCATTGCATTGCCTTCTTCTTGCTCCATCTTCTACTACATTATATGAATCATCCAATGTTCCTGATTATAACTCTCCGAATTACAAACAGGAAAATACGGTATTTCCCCTCATTCTTATTCCTCATCTATGTTTGATCATAATAGTTTTTTGCATTTATTGAAACCACTAGAAACTTCCCATATACTCATTAAATTATACCGCAAAGAAAAAACAAAAAAATTCCTTTCCGATGTAACCGTATAATTTTATCAGGTATTGGTAGTTTATTCCGAAAATGCTTCTTCTGTAGATGATTTTATTAAGAAACGAGGTGCTATCAAACGTTTTGTGTTCCTCGACTCAACATGGTTTCAGGTTTTGCTTTTATGACTTTATTTTTAGCTAATTATCCTTTGTTAGTAGCTCAGATCTCTTTTTTTTTTTTTTTTTTTTTTTTTTTTTTTAAATTAAAGCACTTTATTCCTGAGCTGATATTCTATGAAGTACTATCGAGTGATATTCGTTGAGAAAATTTTATAAAATACTAAACGAATTTTTGTTTCTGTTTGGGCACTACGATGTTTCTTTTCGGTTTTAAAATATATTTGGGATAAATGTTAACACAGTTCATTTTAGATTGGAGGACTAAAGTTATTACCACAGTTACAGCATCTTCCCGTTGTGACATTACGATCTTACAAAACGAAATATTGGCGACCCCAGGTTAAGTTTTAAATATTTTTAGCTTCAGATTGAGCTTCTGACTTTTTTCAAGTTCAGTTTCTTTTTTATTGGATCACTGTAATCATACTTTCATTTTTTTAAAAAAAAATGAGGGTAAATGTCCATGTGTTTTTCCAGATAATGGATTCTTTTAAATGAAAAATTCATATTTAATATTTTTGATCTTCTATGGAGATTTCAGCGAGGTTTATCAGATTATCATCTTGCAACGATTGAAGCAATATATTATGCACTTAGAGAAGCCTTTGAAATTTCATTTGCTACAAAATATGATGGTTGTTTTGATAATCTTTTATTCTGGTTTTTCATTTTCCGTTCAAAAGTTGATAAAAACCTTTTGAAAAGCGAAAGACGAAATACTTCGTAAGTTCCATACAGTTTTATTGTGGAATTAGTAGTTTTGCTGCTATTTTTCGCAGACAAGGAAACCTTTTTTCAAGTCATATTTAGATATTTTATTTGATCATTTTTCTATCTTTTTTTGAATGTATGCTACAGAACCAAACAAAAAACAAAAAACAATAAAGAAATGAAAAAGGTAGTTCTATTGTTGTTATGTATATAAATTTTTATTGTTATATAGCAAAAGGGGATCATATCTAAGCTAACACTAATCTCATTTTGCTATTGTATAAAATTTGAACAGGTAATGTTTTTTGAATTACATTATGCATCATCACATTTTTGCATAAAAATAATTGTTAATTCCAACAATTTGTATTTTCATTGAAATGTGAAAATGGATAATATTTCTAAACAATAAAATCAGAAAATATTTCATTCATTCAACAGTTGTCGTCTCATTAGTATCACCAATATCTTCATCTTCCATTATTCCCTGCATTAACCTACTGAACTGCAATTCTCGATTGTATGTTCGAAGTAAAACATATTCTCGATCACGGAGCATTTTCAAATGTTTTGCTTGCATAACTGCAGACCATGTATACAAATTTTTATTAATTAGATATGCAGCTTGCACTAATAAAAGATAAATTATTATTGTTGTTATCCATAACACAGTGATAGCTCCTTCATTTTTATCTGCATATGTAACACTTTTTGTCGTGAACTGCAACATAATTATTTCATATTACAGGTAGGAAATTTATAAGACAATCAGAATTTGACTTTTTTTAGTTGCTTTTAAAAGAATAGGATTGATTTAGTTTTGAATTCTCTATGGTATAATCATATAATTACACTCAAAGTCTGCTAATGTTTCTCTGTGAAGTTTTTAAAATGCGTAATAAAATAGGAACTGAATTACATAAAAGGACAGCTCACCGCCAGGATGATTTCAGGCAATGTAAAATATTTCCGGTTCTAACATTTTAAAATTATTCTGCTGAAATATTAATATAGAGTAAGTGAAGTGATCAATTTTTGTGAAAAGTTAGAAATGTGATAATTAGCTGTGAAAAGTTGTAAAAAGTAGAAAAAGTTATTTTTAAGTGAGTAATTACAATATTTTCCTTAATATCAGTTATCAGAGTTGAAAGGGAGAGTGAATGTGTGGTTAAATCTTTTTTTTTTTTTTTCATATATTTTAACCATTAAAATGTTTAAAAAGCCTTTTCCTTCCTACAGTTGTGTATTTGATAATTATATTATTTGGTTTTTCTTATTGATTAGCTTATTAATGTATTAATTTTTCCGTCCATCAAGTAATATTATTAATGTTTTCTCTAAGTATTTGCATTGTTTGAGAATTTTTAAATTTAAAAGTTCTTCAGTTTAATATATTACATTTGATCAATTGAAAAGTCAATCGTATTCTATTTCAGTTTTCTGTTAATTTATGCTTTTAAAATTCTTCTTTTACATTTTTTTACATTTTTCATTTTTCTACTTATTATTAGAATTTTTTCTTTTTTTTTTTTTTGTTACATTTCATTTTCCTAATTATTACTTTTTAATTTGTCTCTTTTTTATTTTTCTTTTCTGATGAAATATTCCTGTAGTCAACAATTAATTACACATAATTGTTAATTAATAAGCATCTAGTGTTGTTCTTATTTACTTTATTTCTGAAATATTTTGATCAAATAAAATATTCATAGTTTTTCCAAAAAATTTTTATTCTTTAATTTATGCAACTAATTTCTTCATTAAAACATTTCTAGAAACATTTTTATTTGTTTTTAAAAGATTTGAATTTGCTTAAAATTATTAGTAATTACTAACGAATATCTTTCTCCAAAAACATAAAATAATTGAAATGATTATGATTCCAACAAATATTTTACGAGAAAATAAATTTGCAAAATCTAAGGTAACAAAGTGCTTATTACAGTTTTAAATCTGTTGTGCAAAAAAGGCAGTGCGATCGGGATGAGATTCGAACTCACGCGGGGAAACCCCAATGGATTAGCAGTCCATCGCCTTAACCACTCGGCCACCCGATCCATGGAGTGAGCAGTGACAAGTTCATTGATGTTGAATTTGTTTTAAAAAGAAATTTTCTCAATTTGAGATTAAAAGTTTATAAAAAATTTTTTTTCGAAATGAAGACTTCAAAAATTTAAAAAACTATAAAGGAAAATATTATTGTATGAGATCAGAAATGAACTCACATTCATGCATACAACATCCATTTGTCCTCTATTATGCTATCTTAATGTAAGATCCACAGAAATTACTCATTCCGCTTTTTTCTGGATCCGGATGACCTTTGTGCATTCTTTGTTTAATCTATATGATGTTTTATGCTTTCAACAAAATTTAGCAAGTATTTTTGGAGGATTTTTCAGTTTATGTTCAGGAGATCTTTCGAGAAGATTTTTCCAAATAATTAAATTGAATGTTCATCAATATTCACATCTTTCTCGGGAAGGATTTAAAGTTATTTCAGAAATATTTCTATATTTCGGGAAGAATTCAAAAGATTTTACCAATGGAATTTATTATCTGTGTGAAGAAAGATAAAAATTTATTTTGATTCTTTCTTTAATCTTCCTACATAAATATTTAATTCTTTGTGAATATTTCAGTCAGTTCCTAAATATTTAAATGAAAAATTATCAGTGTAGTACCATTGATATTCTCACTTTCATTATCAGTATAGTACCATTGAAGTAGTATTATCATCTCTTCCATATCGATTCATTGCATTTCACATCTTCCTTGGGTTCAAACTTGGGTAATTAAACAGAAATAATGAAATAATAGATAATAACAGATTGAAGTTTTTGAGTATTTCTGTATAAATTTCAGTTTCCTAATTTAGCAGATGCTAAGCTCAGTAAAAAAAAAAAAAAAAAATTCATTCATCTTTGAATTTAACAGTAATAAAGTAATAAAGTTTGAACTTTTTTTAAGTATTGAGAAAATTGACTTTTAACAAATCGATCATTTATACTATTAACTTGTTAGCATATGAAATTAACTAATGGCTAATTAGTAAAGCTAATTTCTTACGCACTAAATGTTAATGACATATTGCAAATAAAAGATAGAAATGATAAGGATAAATTGATATTTTCGAGTGATAAATTTGATATTTTGAAATGAAATGATAACAACCATATTTTTCAGTGAATTTATCGCATTCATTTCTCTCCACAGTATAAAATAAAAGAATAGATAATGTGGAAAAAAGAGCAAAAAAATCTTTCTTTAAAATTAGATCTGAAATTTTAATTTGTCTTTTAAAAGTGAAAAAAAAAAATGAATAATTTTATTTTCAATACATTCAATAAAATTATTGCATTCATAAATTTATCAATTCATAATCACTTTTCACTTCATTGCTTTCTTCGAGAATTCTAAAAATTTGAAGGATTAAAATTTAAAAATAATTTAACTAATAATTTTTCATTTACAGCAACAATTCGTACATACATTCATATGGATAAAATTTCTAGCTTTTGTTTGACAAAAAATTCTAACAAGAAATCTAACAACGATTTAACTTCAATTATTAGAGTTAAAATATATTAATTGCTTTAATTAATTATAAAGGTCAATCATTGTTCTTTTTTGAAATATGTCGATAAATAAACGAAAAGTTTAAAATGAACATTAAAATTAATAACTTACATGTAGATAAAATACTTGCATAGTGACAGCAGTACATTACTAATTTCAAAATTTTCGACATCTCGTCTTAAATCAAATATCATTTCAATTTCATGCTTTATCGAATAACTTTGAGCTATATATGATTGTTTCTAATAATATTATAGATAAAATTTGGATTTCATTTTAAAGTATTCCAAAATTTTTGATTGTCTATAAAATTTCCAAAAAAAAAAAAGGAAAAAAACGAAAAAGAAACGAAAATTTATTAAGCATATCAACTTGCAATTGAAAATATTTTTCTATATGAAAAATAAAATTCTGCTTTTTTCTTTATGTTCAAAGAAATTTCATTTAATATTCGCAATGATTAAAGATTCCATTGAAGTTTAATTTTTCCTTGTTTATTTATTTATTTTTTGATTTATTAATAATATTTTATCTATTCGATAAAAGAGGAAATTATTTATCCATATTCCAGTTTAAGTTATATTATGATATGAATAAACAAATATTTGTAAAACGACAAATGACATTTTCTGAGTGAAAAATCATAACTTTAATGAATAATAATAATTATTTGGATTTATCAAAAAATTTAACTCAAAAAGGAAATAAATTGTGGTTTTGTTTAATGTGAAACAAATTTTAGGTTATTAAATTAGCAAATTTTTACTTTTACTTATTATTTTTATGAAGATTATTATAAAATATAAAAATTAAAAAGATTAATATGGAATATAAAAATCAAAAAAAAAAAAAAGAAAAAAACAGGAATTTATTATTAATTTTCTCTTTCGCCTACAGAGGAAAGTACAAGCAGAAATCACTCGAAAAATGCAACAATTTTAAATTCTAAATTTTAATGACCTTTTTATAGCTTTAATAAATTTTAAAGCACACATACAACCAACTAATCGATGAATTTTCCAACATATTTGGATTCATTAAACAGCTGAGACTTAATATTCGCTTAATTAATTTCATTTTGAATTTTAATTGCAATTGAATTAATTTAAATCATATAAAGTAAAAAATGACTTTACCAAAGATTCAAGAAGTGACGTATCGGTTTGCGTTGATTTCACTCGTTGCTGTCCACGTGATTCAATTTTTTTGATAATTTGTTTTTTACCTAATTCTGGCATAACCTTATATAAAATGTGATTCCTCAGTGGCATTTTTGATAAGATATTGTCAAAACTTATCAATGGCTCATCCTCTGCAATACAAATTAATCAGATTGTAGTTTAATTAAAAAACGCGGAAATATCTGTGAAGCAAAAATTTTAATTAAAAATTTAAAATTATCAATTCTTGAGCAAAAAAAAAAAATTTTTTTTGAAT